TGCACCAGGCTGGGAAGACTGAATCTGCAATAGGTAAGCAGCTTGGTTTGAAGAAATCAACTGTGGGAGCAATTATTAGGAAATGGAAGACATACAAGACCACTGATAATCTCCCTCGATCTGGGGCTCCACGCAAGATCTCACCCTGTGGGGTCAAAATGATCACAAGAACGGTGTGCAAAAATCCCAGAACCACACGGGGGGACCTAGTGAATGACCTGCAGAGAGCTGGGACCAAAGTAACAAAGCCTACCATCAGTAACACACTACGCCGCCAGGGACTCAAATCCTGCAGTGCCAGACGTGTCCCCCTGCTTAAGCCAGTACATGTCCAGGCCCGTCTGAAGTTTGCTAGAGTGCATTTGGATGATCCAGAAGAGGATTGGGAGAATGTCATATGGTCAGATGAATCCAAAATAGAACTTTTTGGTAAAAACTCAACTCGTCGTGTTTGGAGGACAAAGAATGCTGAGTTGCATCCAAAGAACACCATACCTACTGTGAAGCATGGGGGTGGAAACATCATGCTTTGGGGCTGTTTTTCTGCAAAGGGACCAGGACGACTGATCCGTGTAAAGGAAAGAATGAATGGGGCCATGTATCGTGAGATTTTGAGTGAAAACCTCCTTCCATCAGCAAGGGCATTGAAGATGAAACGTGGCTGGGTCTTTCAGCATGACAATGATCCCAAACACACCGCCCGGGCAACGAAGGAGTGGCTTCGTAAGAAGCATTTCAAGGTCCTGGAGTGGCCTAACCAGTCTCCAGATCTCAACCCCATAGAAAATCTTTGGAGGGAGTTGAAAGTCCGTGTTGCCCAGCGACAGCCCCAAAACATCACTGCTCTAGAGGAGATCTGCATGGCGGAATGGGCCAAAATACCAGCAACAGTGTGTGAAAACCTTGTGAAGACTTACAGAAAACATTTGACCTGTGTCATTGTCAACAAAGGGTATATAACAAAGTATTGAGAAACTTTTGTTATTGACCAAATACTTATTTTCCACCATAATTTGCAAATAAATTCATAAAAATCCTACAATGTGATTTTCTGGATTTATTTTTCTCATTTTGTCTGTCATAGTTGACGTGTACCTATGATGAAAATTACAGGCCTCTCTCATCTTTTTAAGTGGGAGAACTTGCACAATTGGTGGCTGACTAAATACTTTTTTTCCCCACTGTATGTGACTCTGGACAAAATATTTCATGGGGTTAAGTATAAAGGATTGTCACCTTGGGCTTAAAGCATATGTTATAGTTTATTTGATTTATTAAAGACTCCTGTAGGTATTTTATGGCTTGTGTGTGTTTCTTTATGTGTTTCCGTGTCTCTGTAAACGATCAGCTGTCCATTTCCAGCAGGAGCACACTTCATTTAGTACACTCTGCCCTTTTGCTACACAGGCCACTTCATTTAGTACACTCTGCCCTTTTGCTACACAGGCCACTTCATTTACACTGAAAGAGAGACAGGGGACAGACTTGGATGGACTTTACTAGTCAAATGATTGAGCCCACAGGCCCGAGTGTCGTTGAGGTGAAGACGCTCACACTAAGATAAGGAAACAAACAAAAGAAAACACGGCCTGTCCTGTGATAAAGGGAATAGTGCCATTTGGGACTCAACCACTACCTGCCCTACCTACCTGCCTGTAGCCTGTTTTGTCTTCCTAGTAGCCATTAAACCCCAGCCCTGACTTATAGATGTAGTGATCTAACCACTTGGTTAGAATGGGAGGAAATGTACGTCCTGTTGGCACAGGAGGAGGGTAGTGCCATGTTGCTTTTTTAAGTTACTTTTGAAAGTTATGTTCTTGTACAAGTCTAATGTGATGTGTTGAAAGAGTCTCTTGTAGGTGCTGTAGGGGTATTGAGTATGCTGTATGTGGGTATCTATAGTGCATATTTGAGTCACTCATATCACTATCAAGTATCATCTACCATCTTGAGCCAGCAATAGTCAGCAGCAATAACCAGCAGCATTTGTATCTACTGTAGTTTTATCAAATATGTTAGTGTTAAGACAGCATATTTGAGTCACTCATATCACTCGAAAGTCCCAACCACCATCTTGAGCCAGAGGGTGGGTGGGTGTGTGTGGCCCTATTGCCCCGAGCCAATAGTTTAATGATTGAGAACAAACAGTGTCTGCCACTTTCCCCTCAACATTCGCTCTGTGTCCCTGCGCCTTGCCTGGGGGGAGAGACCATGGGTGCATCCCAAATGCCACCCTATTCCCTTTTATAGTGCACTTCTTTTGACCAGGGCCAACTGTGCAGTTCAGGAAAATGGAATTGTCACTCAATTAATGAAACAGAAGTCCTTAGAGAAGCTGCTATTGAAATGTGGCAGTGGGACTCGCCTGAGGCATCTGTGATGCTGAATGTTATTCAAATGCAATTCAAGGAACATAGTGATGTCTTGGGGAATAGAATGTGAATATTGTATTTTTCATAAATATCAGCCTCTGTCTGTTTCCTTCATTGGAGAAGGGCTGCGCTCCCCTTTCTCTGTCTACACAATACCAGAACACTCATTTACGTGTAACCCACAGCATCCCAAACCTATTTCTTGTTCAGAAACCAATTCACAACCCATAACTCCTATTAAGCATAGGACACGTTCCTATGAGACATGCTCTGTAGCCACTGTGAGCCTAGTGTGAAGGACAACAGGTCTGAGGTACAGACAGACAGCGTACCGCCTCCCCACCCCACCACTGTATGTTCCCCACTCAGCAGCAAACAGTGCACTGTCATGGCAACAATTACTGTCTACCCGTATAACCGACGGTTATGGATGAAGAACGTCATGAAAATAAAATAAGTCATAACAGGTCAAGAAAAATAACCGTCATCTAAAATGTAATGATCGTCACAGCCCTCATTTTAATACTGATGAGGCGAGCCATTGCTGTGGCTGCTGTTGCCGTGGATCCTCCGCCTTCTCCGGTGTCGCTGGTGTCTCTTTCTCTAGGTCTCCTGAGTCCCTCCTGAGTCCTGGCTCTACTGAGACAGAAGATATACAGATGGTTAAAGGGCTTTGTGCATTTTCAAAGGAGAGCAGCACCTATCATGTCTTCCTGGCCATTTTTTCAGGTTTGAATAGCAGCAAATACATAGGCTGTAATGGGGGCCTTTATGTAGGTTACCGGTCTGCTTACCATTTTGAATGATTTAAACCATAGCACTCATTTCGGTGTGGAATGGAACATCATTCAACGTCTGTTCAAATAGGACTCCAGAGACTTGGTTTGATGGGATGTTGCTGTCATAGAGATCCTATAAATCAATATAGGAGTTCTACAGTGGGGGAAAAAAGTATTTAGTCAGCCACCAATTGTGCAAGTTCTCCCACTTAAAAAGATGAGAGAGGCCTGTAATTTTCATCATAGGTACACGTCAACTATGACAGACAAAATGAGAAAATGTTTTCCTGAAAATCACATTGTAGGATTTTTAATGAATTATTTTGCAAATTATGGTGGAAAATGAGTATTTGGTCAATAACAAGTTTCTCAATACTTTGTTATATACCCTTTGTTGGCAATGACACAGGTCAAACGTTTTCTGTAAGTCTTCACAAGGTTTTCACACACTGTTGCTGGTATTTTGGCCCATTCCTCCATGCAGATCTCCTCTAGAGCAGTGATGTTTTGGGGCTGTCGCTGGGCAACACGGACTTTCAACTCCCTCCAAAGATTTTCTATGGGGTTGAGATCTGGAGACTGGCTAGGCCACTCCAGGACCTTGAAATGCTTCTTACGAAGCCACTCCTTTGTTGCCCGGGCGGTGTGTTTGGGATCATTGTCATGCTGAAAGACCCAGCCACGTTTCATCTTCAATGCCCTTGCTGATGGAAGGAGGTTTTCACTCAAAATCTCACGATACATGGCCCCATTCATTCTTTCCTTTACACGGATCAGTCGTCCTGGTCCCTTTGCAGAAAAACAGCCCCAAAGCATGATGTTTCCACTCCCATGCTTCACAGTAGGTATGGTGTTCTTTGGATGCAACTCAGCATTCTTTGTCCTCCAAACACGACGAGTTGAGTTTTTACCAAAAAGTTATATTTTGGTTTAATCTGACCATATGACATTCTCCCAATCCTCTTCTGGATCATCCAAATGCACTCTAGCAAACTTCAGACGGGCCTGGACATGTACTGGCTTAAGCAGGGGGACACGTCTGGCACTGCAGGATTTGAGTCCCTGGCGGCGTAGTGTGTTACTGATGGTAGGCTTTGTTACTTTGGTCCCAGCTCTCTGCAGGTCATTCACTAGGTCCCCCCGTGTGGTTCTGGGATTTTTGCTCACCGTTCTTGTGATCATTTTGACCCCACGGGGTGAGATCTGGCGTGGAGCTCCAGATCGAGGGAGATTATCAGTGGTCTTGTATGTCTTCCATTTCCTAATAATTGCTCCCACAGTTGATTTCTTCAAACCAAGCTGCTTACCTATTGCAGATTCAGTCTTCCCAGCCTGGTGCAGGTCTACAATTTTGTTTCTGGTGTCCTTTGACAGCTCTTTGGTCTTGGCCATAGTGGAGTTTGGAGTGTGACTGTTTGAGGTTGTGGACAGGTGTCTTTTATACTGATAACAAGTTCAAACAGGTGCCATTAATACAGGTAACGAGTGGATGACAGAGGAGCCTCTTAAAGAAGAAGTTACAGGTCTGTGAGAGCCAGAAATCTTGCTTGTTTGTAGGTGACCAAATACTTATTTTCCACCATAATTTGCAAATAAATTCATTAAAAATCCTACAATGTGATTTTTCTGGAATTTCTTTCCTCAATTTGTCTGTCATAGTTGACGTGTACCTATGATGAAAATTACAGACCTCTCTCATCTTTTTAAGTGGGAGAACTTGCACAATTGGTGGCTGACTAAATACTTTTTTCCCCCACTGTATATGTCATTCTATTGGCTGTTGTCTTGTGTTTTGCAGGACGAGGAGGAGAACAGCAGGATCGAGCCGATTGGCCGAGCTGATTCCTGTATGGACCACACCCCTGTGAGGTCCCTAGAGTAAGTCCCTCAGAAAGTTGTCTAATTACAGACAGAGGACTATACGTCCCAAATGGTACCCTATTCCCTGTATAGAATATTGGAATATTGGTGAATATACACTACTGGTCAACATTTTTAGAACACCTACTCATTCAAGGGTTTTTCTTTCTTTTTACTATTTTCTACATTGTAGAATAATAGTGAAGACATCAAAACTATGAAATTACACATATGGAGTCATGTAGTAACCAAAAAAGTATTAAACAAAATATTTGAGATTCTTCAAATAGTCACCCTTTGGCTTGATGACAGCTTTGCACACTCTTGGCATTCTCTCAACCAGCTTCATGAGGTAGTCACCTGGAATGCATTTCAGTTAACAGGTGTGCCTTCTTAAAAGTTAATTTGTGGAATTTCTTTCCTTCTTAATGCGTTTGAGCTAATCAGTTGTGTTGTGACAAGGTCGAGGGTGGTATACAGAAGATGGCCCTATTTGGTCAAAGACCAAGTCCATATTATGGCAAGAACAGCTCAAATAAGCAAAGAGAAATGACAGTCCATCATTACGTTAAGACATGAAGGTCAGTCAATCCGGAAAATGTCAAGAACTTTGAAAGTTTCTTCAAGTGCAGTCGCAAAAACCATCAAGCGCTATGATGAAACTGGCTCTCATGAGGACCGCCACAGGAATGGAAGACCCTGAGTTACCTCTGCTGCAGAGGATAAGTTCATTAGAGTTACCAGCATCAGAAATTGCAGCCCAAATGAATGCTTCAAAGAGTTCAAGTAACAGACACATCTCAACATCAACTGTTCAGAGGAGACTGCGTGAATCAGGCCTTCATGGTCGAATTGCTGCAAAGAAACCACTACTAAAGGACACCAATAATAAGAAGAGACTTGCTTGGGCCAAGAAACACGAGCGGTAGACATTAGACTGGTGGAAATTTGTCCTTTGGTCTGGAGTCCAAATTTGAGATTTTTGGTTCCAACCGCCGTGTCTTTGTGAGACGCGGTGTGGGTGAACGGATCATCTCCGCATATGTGGTTCCCACAGTAAAGCATAGAGGAGAAGGAGTTATGGTGTGGGGGTACTTTGCTGGTGACACTGTCTGTGATTTATTTAGAATTCAAGGCACACTTAACCAGCGTGGCTACCACAGCATTCTGCAGCGATATGCCATCCCATTTGGTTTGGGCTTAGTGGGACTATCATTTGTTTTTCAACAGGACAATGACCCAACACACCTCCAGGCTGTGTAAGGGCTATTTTACCAAGAAGGAGAGTGATGGAGTGCTGCATCAGATGACCTGGCCTCCACAATCCCCCGACCTCAACCAAATTGAGATGGTTTGGGAATAGTCGGACCGCAGAGTGAAGGAAAAGAAGCCAACAAGTGCTCAGCATATGTGGGAACTCTTTCAAGACTGTTGGAAAAGCATTCCAGGTGAAGCTGGTTGAGAGAATGCCAAGAGTGTGCAAAGCTGTCATCAAGGCAAAGGGTGGCTATTTGAAGAATCTCAAATATAAAATATATTTTGATTTGTTGAACACTTTTTTGGTTACTACATGATTCCATATGTGTTATTTCATAGTTTTGATGTCTTCACTATTGTTCTACAATGTCGAAAAATAAGGAAAAACCCTCGAATTAGTAGGTGTTCTAAAACTTTTGACAGGTAGTGTACCCACTATATAGTGAAAAGGGTGCCATTTGGGATATATCCAGGGCTCTTGGTCCTTCCTCTGTCTCAACCTAACTACCTCTCTGATCACCTGATGTTGATCACTAACAAGTAAAGGAGAATGAATACCAGTTAACTACCTAAAACCTCTAAGCTGAACCTAATCAAACACTACTGCTACTATCTTTTCTTCTCCATGTTGTAATTCATTGTAAATAATATTTTTAGATTCATGCCAGGAAAATCTATGGAGAAAATCTTTTTAAACCCCTTGCTAATGTTCGTTGTGGAACTCGAGTAAACCAAACATCATCATAACCATGAAACTTACCCATGTACTGATCCATTGTCATGGTGATATTAATAACACTCGTATTGTTTTCTAACTGTCATCTCTCTTGCATGCCTCCAGTCTAATGTGCAGGTACAGTATGTTGTTGATATTATTTCACCCAATAAGGACGGTTTCCCCACCTACCAAAACAATACAATGATGTTGTTTGTATGTATATTAGCTTTATCCTACAGGAAACAGAAACACGTCTGCAAGTCACCAAGCTATGGAAAGTCAATGGGTTAGAGGTCAAAGAACACAAGAACAACAATGTTTAAAAACAAATTGACTGAATATAACTAAGGCTTATTTAAAAATATTGAAATTATAAAAATCTAAATAATATCTGGATTATTTTTTTATTATCTAAAAGTATCTGAAATATATGTATAGATATATGTACAAATATGTAAACATAGTATGTATGGAAAACTACCTTGACTCTCATTAGATCTGGGTTCTGAATGATGCGTTTCTGTGACCTGGGATGTTGGGAGAAGCCCTGCTATGACGTTAATACCTAGTGCTTCAGATAGACACATGTTTTATTCATTTCTGCTCTATTTGTTATGGTTTCTTCCACCTTCCTTATTTCCAGTTTTTTTGCCCATATGTGGTCTCACCCTCTCACCCCCTCATCCATCATTGTCTCACAGTGACATTGTAAAGCTGGTAGAAGTCTCCAATGATGGTGGGCCCTTGGGGATCCATGTAGTACCTTTCAGTGCCCGGGACCGCAGGTAAAGTCTTCCCACTGTTATAGCACCTGACAGACAGGCAGCAGGCTCACTGATGATATAATATAATATAATATAATAATATGCCATTTAGCAGACGCTTTTATCCAAAGCGACTTACAGTCATGCGTGCATACATTTTTTTTGTGTATGGGTGGTCCCGGGGATCGAACCCACTACCTTGGCGTTACAAGCGCCGTGCTCTACCAGCTGAGCTACAGAGGACCACAGGCATGACACTGCCACACTTGGGGAGGGATGGAGAGGGGGGGGGGGGGGAGCGGGAGACAGACAGGGAGGGAGAGCAACCTTTACATCATGTAAAATACTTCAGACAGGAGTCACGGAGGAACATGCCAGTCACCTGCAAACACTGAACCACCATGATTGATCACTGAAACTAGCTAATCACTTCATGATGTGTGAGCATGACATGTATGGGGTGTAGGTCCATGTGTACAACACACACACTAGACAGACACTACACACTCTACAAATTACACATGGACCTACACCCCATACATGTCATGCTCACACATCATGAAGTGATTAGCTAGTTTCAGTGATCAATCATGGTGGTTCAGTGTTTGCAGGTGACTGGCATGTTCCTCCGTGACTCCTGTCTGAAGTATTTTACATGATGTAAAGGTTGCACTGAGCAGTCCATACACATTTCAGTCCACATGCATGTCTCAGAAGATGGAATGGAATCATTTATTTACTGGTCCAGCTCTTTCACATATGTCCACTAGCACAGACCTAGGGTTACAGTTCCTAGACTGGTCACAGATCTGTTTGTGCTGTCATGCCAAACAGGACAAGAAGTGGCATGATAGTGTAAACAGACTGGTACCCAGGCTAGCTTATTCCCTCCTGATTCAGAGAATCTTCCAACCGAAGTTCTGGAAAAGCTGGGGATTTTGGGGAAGGCATCTCAGTGTGTCTACATACCTGTGAATAATAAGTTATGTTTGAATAGTTTTAGCACATTTATGGTAATTTGGTTGATTTACATTGAACCCTGGCCTACTCGGTATTCAATATTTCAGTGAAGTCAGCATTGTTTAGCAGTCAGGAAGCCTGGAGGAGGTTTACTATGGCGGATTACTGCACTGACAGCCGTCACAACTGAGGGCTTCCTGAACTCAAATGTGATGGAGAAGCATTTCTCTAAGTCCTACGTGTTACTGTACACCTGACAATTTTTCCTGTCAGAATGATCATGTTTTGCATTAGGCAGTTCAGTCAGGAGCTAAATGTTGGAGTTCAGGTAGGAAAAAACAAGCACACCTACCTATAGCAACTAGACCCATGCACTTACATACTGTTTTGGAAGTCAGAAGAAAATACACTTTCAGAATTAGAACTGACAAACATAACGCCAGAAATAAGACCAATTAGAAATTAAACATGAGTCTCTCATATCTCACACCCACTTAGCCACAAAAAAAGTATTAAAATGTATGCACTCACTACTGTAAATCGCTCTGGATAAGAGCGTCTGCTAAATGACTAAAATTTCAATTAAAACCATACCTCAATCAGTGTTAGCCAGTGGCCTCAGTGAGGATGCAGATAACATGGAGGACATGTTGCTACGGTAAAGTGTTAGTCATGTAGAGCCTAGACGTTTGCTGTAAAGCTTCAGTAGATCTCTTCCCAGGCCTGCTCTAAGTCTCATTTTGAACCCTGAGGCCTCTTGAACAGCTGCCAGCAGTATTAAACCATCGTCTGCTTCTGAATGTTTCCAGGACTCTAGGCCTGTTGGTCAAGCGCCTGGAGAGGGGAGGCAAGGCGGAGCAGCAGGGTCTGTTCCAGGAGAACGACTGCATCGTACGCATTAATAATGGAGACCTGCGTAACATCCATTTCGAACAGTAAGACACCTGTACCTACCGACCGGTCCTGAGCCTCCTGCGCGCCAGTTCCTCCCCTGCTCCTCTCCCTTCCTCTCCCCTCCACGGCTCTGTCTTCTAACCAAAGCAGGGCCTCTGCTGCCGCCGCTGTCTGTTGCAAAGCTGACCTCGTTCCTGTTTGACTCCTCCTAGTGTTGGGTCTTGGTAAAATGGAGGCTGGCTGCCATTCCTCTCAGCCTCGGTCCTCTCCATACCTTCAATCCTTTCTATATCCCCATATATATCTATCAGCTCCATCGGCTGCTATGAATACTAACCCCTCCCTGTTGGACTCTTAGGTCAAACCTACCTTCAGTAGGCGCTACCCTCTCAGCATCCATTTTTTTGTCTAGCAGCTCCATTGGCTCCCTAAATACCACTGCTTAACTTCCATAGCTTCTGATTTTCAGTGATCTGTCTCTCTCTCTCTCCCTCAGCTCCTCTGTCTGACCAGATCCTAACACCCTAGCTAACTGCTGCTGCCTCCCATCCCGCTCTGCTGCAGATACTGTTCCATAGAAATAGAATGAGTACTTCGTGCTTTACGCCTATGGGTACACTCAAAATGGCCACCCATTATGGTGTCATTGACTTGAATGGGGAGCCCATTCTATTCATTCTAGTTCTGTGTTGTACAGCTAAAGCTTCTGAATACAATGTTAAATCTCTCTTTATACTCTGTGGTCTACTGTATATCTATGGCAGCGTAAACGGGCTGCTCCAAATGTTGTGCTTTTCAGGATTTTCTGTGCACACACTCACTCACAATAACCTATGGCTATACTATAGCCCTCCCACCCCCTTCCTTAAAGATATAACAGAGATGCTTTTCGGACATTTAGCATGTGTAAAACTCTGTCAGTTTTGATATATTTAATTCAACCCCAGTAAGTAACTGGAAACAGTTGTCTGGGACTTGATCTAGGCTGAAATTGATATCCGTTTCCTTTGGGAATATTATTAGTGGCTGGGAAAACGGCTAGGAATTTTGACAAGGAATTGCAGGGTCATTGGGAGTGGGGTTATGATGTCTGTTCAGCAGTTTTTTGAGAGTGGAGATCTGTCTACATCCCAAATGGCAACCTATCCCTGATAGTACACTGCTTTTGACTAGAGCCCTATAGCCCCTGCCATTGGGGGCGCATCTGAGATTACTAGCAAAGTCAACTTTACTGTACTGTAACATGTGTGGCTAACAAGTCTCCTGCTATGGTAACATTACACTCAATAGATGTTTTCAGTTCACACCTACCTTACCTCATGTTGAAGGGGTTTAAAAGGATTTTTCTCCTAATCATTCTATAGAAAGCCCATTCCTTTCATCTGTAGCTAAATGAGGGATTACAGTACATGATAAAACCTGGCAAGCCTATTCTAAAGCTATACATTGTTACTTTCTACAAGCTTTAATCACTGCTATACAGTGCAGGTAGACCACCACTAGTGTACGTGTAACGTGTATGCGTGATCCACCAGCCCTGTTTTGACTGTAGGGTTGCAAAATTCCAGTAACTTTCCGAAACCCCCCAGGTTTTGGATGATTCAGGATTTCCTGCTTTTATTTCACATGATTCCTGGAATCTTCCAACGGGATTTCTAGAAAACCTGGGAATGTTGGGAAAATTACCGGGATTTTGCCACCCTAGTAAGCTGACTGTTGTTTTGGTTCTGCCTCCCTCAGAGCCCAGAACATGTTCCGCCAGGCCATGCGTTCCCCGGTCATCATGTTCCACGTGGTTCCCAACCTGATGAAGGCCCAGTACGAGCAGCTGTCACACAGCGAGAGGAACCCCAACATGGCCTACTCCTCTGGACGCTTCAGCCCCGACTCCCTAGCTAGCGAGAGAGGCAGCACCACCTCAGGCCTGGACCACACCCCACAGGTCTCTCTATATGTTTTTCTATATTCTCTGTCGTTGCTTTTATAATGCAAGGCAAATTTCTGTGAAAACAGACAATAAAATGCTGTCTAATCTTACATCACAGTCCCGTGGTCCCCACCCCCACCCACACCCGGAGCAGGTCGACGCCTACACCCCTCTACCTCACCCCCTTGTGGGCTCCATGGGCAAGCCCCCATCAGGCCATGCCCCCTCCCCTCACAGGGTGCTAAACTCAACCCCCACGGCGGGCTTCACCAAAAAGGTTGGCAGGAGACTCAACATCCAGCTCAAGAAAGGTCAGCATCCAACACACACACACCTAAAGATCAGCATTTGTTTAACCTCCGTAGGACCGTGAGTTTTTCCTGACTGTGGCATGACCAAGGTCCAGAGTTTTTCCAGGTCAGGTCATGTGGTCAGGAAAAGCTCCTGGTCCTACATATTGAATGATCTGAATCCATGCTTCACAGAGGTGGTTTGTGATTGGCCCAACAGAGAAAGCATAGCTTTCTGAGAGGCTGAGAAGCTGAATTTAGCTTCTCAGCCTCTCAGAAGAAAAATAACTAGTGTTTAGGTTTGTGTGATGAAGTTGGATAAAGAAACAATTCTTCTATTTGGGACTTCAAAGAAGAGAATAGCAAATTGTGTGGTTTAAAAAGTATATTCATAGGACATTGTCTTCAAAATAAACACATACGAGTCTCAACTCATTGATCTGTTTATGAACAGACACACATATCAGAATCATTCAATGTAGCCTTAAATGTGAATAAAGATGGCCAAAAGGCCTCCCACTTTTGCCTGAAACGGTGGAGAGAAAATGTGTTTCAGATTGATTCATTAATTCCTAATTAAACACATCTCCGGGGTGTATGCAGTGACTGACAGCTGGACAGAGTTGGCCCACACAGTCCTCTGCAATAGGAGACACGCGGGCAGGCAGGCCATAGGAGACCAGTTGTGTGTGCCTGCACAGGCAACTGGGGGAGCCAGAGGGCTTGTTGCTAGGCAGCCACTCGTCTGTGTAGTGTGCACTGTGTCAAAAAGCTTGTTGAAGATCGAAAGGCCTGCTTCGAATGGCATCCCAAACAGCACCCTATTCGCTATAGTGCACCATTTTTTACCAGAGCCCTATTGCACTATTTGTGACAGCAGCCCGTAGGGCTCTGGTCAAAAGTAGTGCACTATATAGGGAATAGGGTGCCATTTATACAATCCCCACACTCCACAACCAGGTGTCTATCATAATATTAGGTTTTCTATTCACTTCCTTTTGAAAGGAGGCTTACATAAACATAGCACTGTTAATAACATACACAGCCCCTGGCTTGTTTGTTGTGTTTTGAGTGCAGCAGACTAAACCTTATTTGGTGGATAGATTTACTTGGCTTGTTGACATCTTAAAGGGATACTTCAGAATTTTGGCAATGAAGACTTTTATCTACTTCCCCAGAGTCTGATGAACTTGTGGATACCATTTTTATGTCTGTGTGCTGTTTGAAGGAAGTTGCTAACTAGCGTTAGCGCAATTGCTTACTAGCTTTAGTGCAATGACTTGAAGTCTATGGTAACAGCTAGCTTTTACCATAGTCATCCAGTCATTGCGCTAACGCTAGCTAGCATTGGCTCGTGAAACTACAACAAACTTCCTTCATACTGGATGCAGAGACATAAATATTGTATCCATGAGAAAATCTGACTTTTGGGAAGTAAATAAAGTGCTTTATTGCAAAATCCCAACGTATCCCTTTAAGATGTAAACAAACTAAACTCACTGGTCTCTCCACAAAACCCAAACTCTAACGCAATCAATCTGGAATATTAGACTCCAGAGGAAATTGAGTATGTATTTCCTAATTAAGCTAACGTGTCTTTAAAGATCCTGTGTACCATATGAAACACATTAACGCTAATGCCATTTACCGGTAACTATAATACGTGCCCGTCCTATGGTGGGAAGTTGATTGGCTTATTGACATGGAGGGGATTTAGATTGATCTTTAACAGAATCCTCAGAGCGTTCTGGAATCCTCTCTGTGTTCTACCTTGCTTGCATTACCATACACAGCTCAGACAGTCAGACAGAGGGATTAGGCTGGGCAGACATTCTCCTAATGATCTGACTGTGGTGCCAGCGGGAGAGGAGAGATACCATCCTCAACCTCTAGACTCTGATTCAGGCTGTCTTATTAGGCTGAGAGGGTTCCGCAGGTCAACACTGCATTTTGTCTCAACCTTTCTTACTAACCGTCCAGAATCCTTCCCTTGTTCCATTTTCACCTTGTATTACCTTATGGCTATGTCTGAATACCCATACTTGCGTTGTAAATAGGCTTTTTGGGTATGCACATAAAAAAATATATATAGTAAGTGAAATTTCAAACATTTAGTATGCTTTAAATGCCAGGATGTAATAGCCATTTCAACTTTACATCTAGTAGAATTCACTGCATGTTATTGAGGAAGAGAAAAGTATTTTCCGACCCACGTGTGTTTGACAACAGCTGATTATCAAGAGAAGGGGACGCAAAATGAACGGATGGCGGGAAGCAACGCAATTGCAAATTAGATTACACATTATCAGTATGGGTGAGCCTAGTATGTTGATATTTGTTGCTTACTGCATAAGCTTCCACTAAACAGTACGTTCTAAATAGTATGTCGTTTTAGTAAGTAGTAAGCAAGACAGATTTCGAACACGGCCAGAATGTCTTGTTGCTGTGTTGGTCTTACTGTACTTGTGATATGAGGGTGAGTCAAAATATGACAGACTTTCTCACACATACAGTGGGGAAAAAAAGTATTTAGTCAGCCACCAATTGTGCAAGTTCTCCCACTTAAAAAGATGAGAGAGGCCTGTAATTTTCATCATAGGTACACGTCAACTATGACAGACAAATTGAGAAAAAAATATCCAGAAAATCACATTGTAGGATTTTTAATGAATTTATTTGCAAATTATGGTGGAAAATAAGTATTTGGTCACCTACAAACAAGCAAGATTTCTGGCTCTCACAGACCTGTAACTTCTTCTTTAAGAGGCTCCTCTGTCCTCCACTCGTTACCTGTATTAATGGCACCCGTTTGAACTTGTTATCAGTATAAAAGACACCTGTCCACAACCTCAAACAGTCACACTCCAAACTCCACTATGGCCAAGACCAAAGAGCTGTCAAAGGACACCAGAAACAAAATTGTAGACCTGCACCAGGCTGGGAAGACTGAATCTGCAATAGGTAAGCAGCTTGGTTTGAAGAAATCAACTGTGGGAGCAATTATTAGGAAATGGAAGACATACAAGACCACTGATAATCTCCCTTGATCTGGGGCTCCACGCAAGATCTCACCCTGTGGGGTCAAAATGATCACAAGAACGGTGAGCAAAAATCCCAGAACCACACGGGGGGACCTAGTGAATGACCTGCAGAGAGCTGGGACCAAAGTAACAAAGCCTACCATCAGTAACACACTACGCCGCCAGGGACTCAAATCCTGCAGTGCCAGACGTGTCTCCCTGCTTAAGCCAGTACATGTCCAGGCCCGTCTGAAGTTTGCTAGAGTGCATTTGGATGATCCAGAAGAGGATTGGGAGAATGTCATATGGTCAGATGAAACCAAAATAGAACTTTTTGGTAAAAACTCAACTCGTCGTGTTTGGAGGACAAAGAATGCTGAGTTGCATCCAAAGAACACCATACCTACTGTGAAGCATGGGGGTGGAAACATCATGCTTTGGGGCTGTTTTTCTGCAAAGGGACCAGGACGACTGATCCGTGTAAAGGAAAGAATGAATGGGGCCATGTATCGTGAGATTTTGAGTGAAAACCTCCTTCCATCAGCAAGGGCATTGAAGATGAAACGTGGCTGGGTCTTTCAGCATGACAATGATCCCAAACACACCGCCCGGGCAACGAAGGAGTGGCTTCGTAAGAAGCATTTCAAGGTCCTGGAGTGGCCTAGCCAGTCTCCAGATCTCAACCCCATAGAAAATCTTTGGAGGGAGTTGAAAGTCCGTGTTGCCCAGCGACAGCCCCAAAACATCACTGCTCTAGAGGAGATCTGCATGGAGGAATGGGCCAAAATACCAGCAACAGTGTGTGAAAGCCTTGTGAAGACTTACAGAAAACGTTTGACCTGTGTCATTGCCAACAAAGGGTGTATAACAAACTATTGAGAAACTTTTGTTATTGACCAAATACTTATTTTCCACCATTTGCAAATAAATTCATTAAAAATCCTACAATGTGATTTTCTGGATTTTTTTTCTTCTCATTTTGTCTGTCATAGTTGACGTGTACCTATGATGAAAATTACAGGCCTCTCTCATCTTTTTAAGTGGGAGAACTTGCACAATTGGTGGCTGACTAAATACTTTTTCCCCCCACTGTAACTCACACATCCTCCTGTTTCATCCTTTAGGTCCAGAGGGTCTGGGTTTCAGCATCACGTCGCGCGACGTCCCCATCGGCGGCTCGGCGCCCATCTATGTGAAGAACATCCTGCCCAGAGGAGCTGCCATCCAGGACGGACGCCTCAAGGCTGGAGACAGGCTGCTGGAGGTAAGACCTGAGACCAGGGGATACATCAGTAAAACTCTGTCATTGTCTGATCGCCCTGTTTCTAGATCTCTGTTCTCAATGGTTTATGTTGTGTTAGCCTCTAATACGGTGTAACTTCTGGTACATAGAGACATGTTGTTTAGGCTCATAATAGTATCTTGGTGTGATCAATTCAAGTGAATGATAGCGTGTTCCTCAGTGTTGGGTTCAGGGGTCAAAATCTGAATGTGAATCTGTATGTTATTAATTGCCGTATGTGTTCCAGGTGAATACAGTGGACTTGGTTGGTCGGACCCAGGAGGAAGTGGTCGCTCTGCTGAGGGCCACGCCCATGGGAGGAGCTGTGGGACTGGTGGTGCTACGACAGGAGGAGGCCTTCCCAGTAGGTCTATCTCTGCTCCCCTAACACTGCAAACTGTACATGCCTAGTCTCTTGGATGCTTAGAGTCCCCGTTTGTTATAATGTCCCCTACTCTCAGGAAAGTGTGTGTACATCAATATGTATGTCGTTATGTCCTGTGGTTGTGTGTGTCTTATACCCTGTCACAGTTAATCTCCCAAGTTCCCCAGTAAGTATTGTGTTTTCCTTCCATTCTCCTCCTAACACAACATGCCAATGCAGCATGCAGATTGATTGTGCTACTCTGGCACTGCGCTACTCTTTATTGTCCTGGACTAAGTCTCAAATGGCATCCTATTCCCTACATAGTGCACTACTTTTGATCAGAGCCCTATGGATCCTGGTCAAATGTAGTGCACTATATAGGGAGTAGGGCGCCATTTAGGACGCAACCCTGATCCAGTTATTCTCCGTGGGAACCTGTAGCGCTCCGCTCCCTCAGAACAAATTGGATAGATTGATTGATGGATGGGTGAGAAAGCAGGCAGACGCAGGCAGGCTTGGGACAGACTGAGAAATGCACTTGTTGTTGGGTAGAATATAAATCAGATTCAGCACCCACACAATAGGTCCTGGTCAAAAGTAGTGCACTAAATAGGGAATAGGGTGCAATTTGAGACAACCATGGTATGTTGTCAGAGTGACTAGAGGGTGACTACTCAGTTTGAGATTATAATGGCTCATGCAAACATTAACAGTAAAATGTAATATGCTTATCATATCAATTTATTGTGTTTATATAGACACACCGGGTGTTTTAATTTGTTTTAATTGAAAGGTTTTATAAATACAAATGTTTATTTAATGAAACAACACATCTGGGCTTTTGTTAGTGTGTCTGATGAAAGCAATAGGGAGAGTTAATGCTGGGGTTATTTTTGAGGTCTAAATCACCCTTCCTGTGTTCCAAATGGCACCCTATTACCTACATAGTGCACTACTTTTGACCAGAGGCCCTGGTCAAAGGTAGTGCATTATAAAGGGAATAGGGTGCCATTTGGAACGCAGGCAGTGCCTCCGAGGTTGTTCAGTATTTACTACCCTAGTCATTGGCTACTATACGATCTCCCAACCAAACCGCCAGTGTGCTTCTTAAACACCTGTGCTATTGCGCCAGGCTGAGTTATAGCACAGAGTAGCACTTAAATCCCCCCCTTCTCATAATAATGGGCCAGAATTTTCTCCTCTCACCATTAGTGGATCCCAACCATCACCACCACTACCCAACAGCAGCTTCAATCAACCCCACCACTCTCACCCTCCTCCAACAGTGACAGTTATTACAACTGAAGACGCACACACCTTATTGGCTGGCTGTCACTCTGGCCGGGCCGAGTTAGATGTTGAGCCCAGGGGCATTCATCAGAGCCTCATCGGGATCAATACTCATCTTTTGATTAGTCCAGAGCCATTCTTTCACTCAGGAGGATGCGTCCCAAATGGAACACCCTTTTCCCTATGGGCCCTGGTCAAAAGTAGTGCATTATGTAGGGAATAGGGTGCCATTTGGGACGCAGACTAGATATATCTATCTGCTATCTCATCTGACACACATGACAGGAGGGGATATAAATATTGCACAGCGGAGAGAGAACCTGTTCTACCCCCAGGGGGAACACAGACCTGGTTCTTCTGACTCTGTAATAGTGGGGTAGAGAGCTGGAGCAGCTACTCTGAGTTATTCCCAGCCCCCAGGCAATGATTACTGATATACTGGTAATATCCATAGAAGGGCTATAGTGGTACATGTGAGTATGTAGTTTGGTAAAGAAATGCATTCTATTGGTATGTGTAAACACTGGGTAGCCCACTTCTACTGCGCAGTCTACATTAGGTCAATGGATGATGATGATTAGACATGGTAGTTTTGATTTCTGTCAATCTACTCCAGGGGTATTCAAATGTGAGCCTGGATGTCCAGAGAACTGCTGGTTTTCTGTTCTACCTGAACAATTAATTGGACCCACCTCGTGTCCCAGGTCTAAATCAGTCCTTGATTAGAGGAGACACATGAACATCAGCAGTGGAACTGGCTTCAAGGTCCAGATTTGAATTAGCCTGATGTACACTGTAGGTGCTCCTCCCTCAGTTAGATGTGATGTTCAGTATTGCTGCATGTGTAATTGACTACTGTTGTTTCTTCTGTCCCCTGTTTCCTATAGAATGCAGAGCCCCAGATGCAAAGCCCCAGAGATTTGGTAAGAGTCACCTAAACCCTACGTATACCTGTTACCTGTCCCCTATACTGAGTCAGTGGAGGCTGGTGAGGGGAGGATGGCTCATGATAATGGTTGGAATGAATGGAATGGTATCAAATATAAAGAAACCTTAAAATGAACCATGTCTCTTCCATTCATTCTTTTCCAGCCATTACTTTGAGCCTGTTCTCCGATAGAGCCACCAGCCACCACTGTCCCTGACCCACCTAAAAAGTGATTCATTTATCAAGTGTAGTCAAATAAAATGTACTTTATTGCACAATTCTGCATGTCCAATTGTGCAATGATTTCAAATAAATCTCATTAATTTAGGTTTTCAGTAGGGCACTGTAGAGGAGGACATATTTTTAGTACTTGAATAATCTGCTCAGGGACACTCCCAATGATTCAGTGACATTAACAACCTGGCCACACTCATAGATGACTTTCTCTGAATGCAGTTAAAAGCTCATTGTGCTATTTGTCTTTGTTTGGGGACATTAGGAGACCATTTGCATTGCATTTACATTACTCTCAACTGATGAGAGAAGCCTCATAATTGACTGATCCACTGTTTAGTAGGACTGTATTTAAACATAGAATTGGATCCTTGTTGTTTTTCACCACCTCTGTGTAGTTATACTGTCAAGGTGATTCATTATGAACTATATCAGCCAGCCATTCTCAAGCTTTATTGACCAGCTAATTTGGTGCTTCTGTGACATGTTTAGTTTGCTCCTCAATTCATGCACCTTGGTTGGAAAGCGAGGTAGCAGCCTAGAGTGGTAGTTCCATGTTCCCTGTGCTCCTGTGATACCTGACAGCTGCCTGCATTCATGGTTCTTATCATCAGCACGGTCTGTGGCCAAATGGAGAACACTCTCGGTTATGATCCCAGCTGGCATATCAAACCCATCACTTCATCTCCTGATGATCTAAATATGGGTTTACTTCAGGGTGGCCCTTTCCTTTCCAGTAAAGCATTCATACCAGACCAGGAGGTGTGTAATGGTTGTTGTTGTTAGAATTGCCTCATTTGGAACGGCTCCGGAGTGTTATCGTTGTGCTCAGATGAGACACAATCCAGATGAGACAAATCCAGAGTAGGCACTTTAGATCTCCAAGCAATCTCTCACTCCTGTGTGATTTTACAAGCCTCAGCAATGAATTCCTTCATAATGTAGGCCTACACGTTGTACATCTAAAAGCAGTCTCCTCTCTCTCTCTCCTCTCTCTCTCTCTCTCTCTCTTATGTGTGATTTTACAAGCCTCAGCAATGAATCCTTTTCTTCTTTCCTTCCCGTCATATTCCCTCCATAATGGGCTCCACAATTATACACGGCAGATGTTATCTCTTGTTAGAGGCTTTGTTCCACATGACTCTCAACAACACATTAACGTTATTGTTGTGGTGCCAGACAGACAGCAGCACTGAGGCTCTGATACTAGTACAAAACATGGGCTCTGGTCAAAAGTAGTGCACTATATAGGGAATAGGGTGCCATTTGGGACACAGTCTGTGTGTTTCCGGGTAGGAGACTGTTTCAGCGCATTAGCCCCCCATCTCATCTGATAGGCCCTCCTCCAGTAGCGGAATGGAGGGAGGGAGGGAGGCTGGGTGGGATGGAGGGAGGCTGGGTGGGATGGAGGGAGGCAGGGTGGGATGGAGAGAGGCTGGAGGGAGGTAGGGTGGGATGGAGGGAGGCTGGAGGTAGGGCGTGCTGGAGAGAGGCTGGAGGGAGGGTGGGATGTAGGAAGGCTGGAGGGAGGGAGGGAGGGTGGGATGGAGGGAGGCTGGAGGGATGGAGCCACGGGGGAACAAAGCTAAGAGCTCCACACAGCAAACGGCATGCTCTCTCTGTACTGGACCAATTAACCTGAGGCCTCACTTGAAGCCATAGCAGCCTGCAGCCACTCTCCCATCCCCCTCCCCATCCCCCCTCTCACTAAAACAGGTCAAACACACAGAGACAATAGGCAACATCACCTTGACCCTCCACATGAATTAGCTCAGCACTTTAGCAACGTTAATAATTAATACATGTATAATCGCTGTTAATAATAGATTATCTCTCTTTGTGAGGCAGGATTATTGTTGACCCTATGGGGGCTGTTGACCATATGGGGGCTGTTGACCCTATGATGGCTGTTGACACTATGGGCCCTGGTCAAAAGTAATACACTATATAGCGAATAGGGTGCCATTTGAGATGCACCCATGGACACGGTTAGTTGTCACTGCTGCTGACATGTTTGGGGTTTGTTGCTTGTGTGGCGTTGCTACCATGGCATGATGTGTGTGTGGAATGTAACCGTAGGTCTTACTGTTCCCCTCTCCAGCGTCGCTCGGTGAGGGAGGCCATGTCGGCTACGGCGCCCCACTGGCTGACTGAGGTAACCACCCACAAGTGGCTGTGTCCCAAATGGCACCCTTTTCCCTATATAGTGCACTACTGTAGTGCACTATATAGGGAAAAGGGTGCCATTTGGGATGCACAGAGTGCCTCTGCATGACATCATCACGCTGCTCTTTGGGACTGAATCAATCAGGAACCATGAAGCAAAAGTAACACTGTTTGAACTGTCAATTGAGCAGTTTATTAGGACTGCCTAAGTAACAGTAAATGTGGCCGTGGGTGGGTATGCCATGTGGTCTGTATGGTCTGTTACTATGTGCTGATTTAGGAAGTAACTGCCTTTTCACCTGCCGTCGCAGGGCAAGACTGATCTAATACTTATATACAGTGCATTCGGAAAGTATTCATACCCCTTGACTTTTTCCACATTTTGTTACCTTACAGGCTTATTCTAAAATGGATTAAATAAATGTTTCTCCTCATCAATCTACACACAATACTCCATAATGACAAAGCGAAAACAGGTTTTTAAAAACATTTGCAAATGTATTATAAATAAAAAACAGAAGTACCAAGTATTCAGACCCTTTGCAATGAGACTCGAAATTGAGCTCATGTGCATCCTGTTTCCATTGATCATCCTGTGGTAAGTTTTATTGATTGGACATGGTTTGGAAAGGCACACACCTGTCTATATAAGGTCCTACAGTTGACAGTGCATGTAAGAGCAAAAACCAAGCATGAGGTCAAAGGAATTGTCCGTAGAGCTCAGAGAAAGGATTGTGTCGAGGCACAGATCTGGGGAAGGGTACCATCAAGACTCTTCCTAGAGCTGGTCGCCCAGCCAAACTGAGCAATCGGGGGAGAAGGGCCTTGGTCAGGGAGGTGGCCAAGAACCCGATGGTCACTCTGACAGAGCTCCAGAGTTCCTCTGTGGAGATGGGAGAACCTTCCAGAAGGACAACCATCTCTGCAGCACTCCACCAATCAGGCCTTTATGGTAGTGGCCAGATGGAAGCCACTTCTCAGTAAAAGGCACATGAAAGCCCGCTTGGAGTTTCCCAAAAGGCACCTAAAGGACTCAGACCATGAGAAACAAGATTCTCTGGTCTGATGAAACCAAGATTGAACTCTTTGGCCTGGATGCAAAGCGTCACATCTGGAGGAAACCTGGCACAATCTCTACGGTGAAGCATGTTGGTGGCAGCATCATGCTGTGGGCATGTTTTTCAGCGGCAGGGACTGGGAGAATAGTCAGGATCGAGGGAAAGATGAATGGAGCAAAGTACAGAGAGATCCTTGATGAAAACCTGCTCCAGAGTGCTTAGCACCTCAGACTGGGGCAAAGGTTCACCTTCCAATAGGACAACAACCCTAAGCACACAGCCAAGACAATGCAGGAGTGGCTTCGGGACAAGTCTCTGAATGTCCTTGAGTGGCCCAGCCAGAGCCTGAACTTGAACCCGATCGAACATCTCTGGAGAGACATGAAAATAGCTGTGCAGCAACGCTCCCCATCCAACCTGACAGAGCTTGAGAGGATCTGCAGAGAAGAATGGGAGAAACTCCCCAAATACAGGTGTGCCAAGCTTGTAGCGTCATACCCAAGAAGACTCAAGGCTGTAATCGCTGCATTTACATTTACATTTACATTTTAGTCATTTAGCAGACGCTCTTATCCAGAGCGACTTACAGTTAGTGCATACATTATTTTATCGAACCCACAACCCTGGCGTTGCAAACGCCATGCTCTACCAACTGAGCTACATCCCCTGCCGGCCAAATCCCTCCCCTACCCTGGACGACGCTGGGCCAATTGTGCGCGCCGCCCCATGGGTCTCCCGGTCGCGGCCGGCTACGACAGAGCCTGGATTCGAACCAGGATCTCTAGTGGCACAGCTAGCACTGCGATGCAGTGCCTTAGACCACTGCGCCACTCGGGAGACGAAGGTGCCAAAGGTGCTTCAACGAGGGTCTGAATACTTATGTAATTGTGATATTTCAAATTCTAAAAAACTACTTTTGCTTTGTCATTATAGGGTATTGTGTATTGATTGATGAGGGAAAAAAAACAATTAATCAATTTTAGAATAATGCTGTAACGTAACAAAATGTGGAAAAAGTCAAGGTGTCTGAATACTTTCTGAATGCACTGTGGTCTGCGTCTCAAATGGCACCCTATTCCCTATATAGTGCACTTCGAACATGGCCCAATGGCTTTGGTCAAAAGTATTGCACTATATAGGGAATAGGGGGCATTTGGGACGCACACTTAGTGTAAATCCACTGCTAATAATATCCGTTAACTTTCTGTTTTGTTTGTGCTATTAAGTTACACTGTTACTGTAAGTTGATATTGAAAAGCCACCAGTGCCAGTTACCCTGTAATGTAATGTAAAGCCAAGTCACATTGATCTATGGTCACACAGACACATTTCGTCTCCCTCGACTCAGATTAATAATTGTTGTTGCTCTTTCTGCCCCTGCTCTCTACCTCGCATGCACGCAACACGCACACACACAGCACGCACACACACAGCACGCACACACACACACAGTGTTATTTGTGCCCCCTTGCAGATGCGGCTGCATTCATGTCTCTAGTGTGTGAATGTATGAGTCAATCAGAGGGCCCAGTGACTCTAGGGGAGAACAAGCTCTTGCCTTAATTAAAGTGATGTTTCAAGCTGCCACCTGTTCCTGCACATACAGCACACAGTGACTGGGAGCAGCTGCTAGCTGGGTAATTACCATCACACAGTCACAGAATAGGAGAGGAAGAGGACGTGGATGGCTCTGGAGTCTAATTCTAATCTGAAGTCATTCTAATCTTGTGTGTACTGCACAATGTGAAATGTGTGTGTGTGTGTGTGTTTAGGTGATTTGGCAGGGACTGTATTTGCGAATATGCCTCAGATGGAGTTATTAAAAGACCCATTACCTGCATGTTCACCTCACATAACGGTGATTATGCAGGACTGAAAGGTGAAGTCCTTGTCTTTGCTCACTGTTCCACTGTGTTTAATGACTCACTGCCCCCTCCATGAGGAGTGTTACTATGACCTCCGTCTTGTGTGTGTGTCTCTCTTTGTGCATGCACACACACCTCCACATCAGTCTGTCTGGACTCCTGTCTGTCTATCCCCCAGGTGTTTTGATATTCATGGTCTATCAGCATGCGGTCTAAGGCAGATAGTAAGAGAGAGAGAGAAGAGCTGCTTTAAAAAGAGCCTCCGAAGCACTCAGTGCTCTCCACATGGGCTCCCTCCAGCAATTACACCCTCCACTGCCTCCTCATTTCTCCACTCCTCTTTGCGCTTTTAATTCGTTTCAAGTGACTTTTTGATTCAATCAAATCGACAGGTTTGTGTGGGAAAGTTGAGAGTACGCCTCTAATCGTTTCAGGTGATGCTGTTCCGAGCGATGGGGGGTGTGAGTGAGGCCAGGTGTGTATAGGAGCCAGGGCTGTAGGGGTTGAAATTAGGGACGGGGGTGGAGGTGTCCTTTTATTCACTCTGTGGAATACAAAGCGCCTTGCAGCCTGGGTTGCTGAGGAGAGGGGAAGGACGGCAGTTCTGCAATTGTGTTCCACATGGATTCATCCTCTCTCTCCCTCTATCTCACTGTCTCTCTCTCCCTCTATCTCTCTCTCACCGGCTCTCTCCCAACCCTATCTCTCTCTCAGCTATCTCTCTCTCACCTATCTCCCTCTCCCTCTATCTCACTGTATCTCTCTCCCTCTCACTGTCTCTCTCCCCCTCTCTCTCACCTATCTCTCTCTCACTGTCTCTCTCTTCCTCTGTCTCTTTCTCCTCTCTTTCTCTGTTCTCTCTCTTTCTCTCTATTCCCTCACCCGCTCTCTACCCTTCTCTCTCCCCAAAGTAATTCAATCTCTCTCTCTGCAAACAATGGGAGCAAATGAATGTATGACACTGAGCTTGATTATGACTGCATTCATTACACATGCTCATAATTGCTAGTAGTTTAGTGTGCCGATTTATTCAGAGGACAGCTGTCAATTGACAAGGCAGAGAGAACAGCTTTTTTGTTATTCAATGATGCTCAGGCACCTGTTGCATTTTGTGATATAGCATATGTGTCTGTTTCTGTGTGTAGATAATGCACTTAATTATATACATTATAGTGCCTTTCTGGTGCCTGTGAGGTGATCACAGAATCAAATCAAAATTGATTTGTCACATGCTTCGTAAACAACAGTGAAATGCTTACTTACGGGAAAATATAGAAAAATTATAACACGAGGAATAAATACACAATGAGTAACGATAACTTGGCTATATACACGGGATACCAGTACTGAGTCGATGTGAAGGGGTATGAGGTAATTGAGGTAGATATGTACTGTACATATAGGTAGGGGTAAAGTGACTAAGCATACTTAATATGATCAGATACTCACTCAGTAGCTCCATTCTTCTGCCAATGTGTTTAGTCACAATGTCAATGTAGGCTCTGTGTTGCTACAGAAGGCCATAATACATACCGAATACCAACTTCTAGGATCTCTATGATAGACAGTGTATCCAACCTTAACCCCAAGAACTCCCAATGACACACATGTTCATGCTGAAATTCTCTCATCTGTAACTAAACTCATAGATGTGAGTTGGTCATCCCATAGCTCCTGATGCTGAGGAGCATCGGAATCAACATATCTGCATCCCAAATGACACCTTATTCCCTATATAGTGCACAAATGTTGACCAGGCCCTGGTTAAAAGTAGTACACTATGGAGGGAATAGGGTGCCATTTGGGACGCTGATCTTGGATTCGCTTATCAGTAGATCTCACAGTAGCAGAAATGACCAGTGACACCATCCTTTCTCCGTCCTAGAAGGTTGAGGAGGATGACCTGGTGTTGACCCCTGACGGAACCAGGGAGTTCCTGACCTTTGAGATCCCTCTGAGTGACTCGGGGTCGGCAGGGTTAGGGGTCAGCGTCAAAGGCAACCGCTCCAAGGAGAACCACGCTGACCTAGGCATCTTCGTCAAGTCCATAATCAACGGAGGAGCTGCCTGCAAGGTGAGTCTTACCTCTCTCATTAGGATTCCAATGTTCATGATCATATAAGTCATCATGTCTTTTTGGAGTTTATATACTGGACTAATCTGCCTATTAGCATATTCTGTCTACCAGTTCTGATTTGACAGTGAACTTCATTGCTTTTTCTGCTATTCGTTATTCCACTGACAGTACAGTAACCTTGGTGCCAGTCTGTTTCTTGCACTCTAGCCACCTCTCTAGGGAATGAAGTAGCCTGGGTGTCACTTGTTGTTCGGTGTGACAAGGAGTTGGCAAGATAACACAAACAGATCTGGGACAGGGTTAACAGCACAGTGCTAATTCGTTGAACAGTCTGATTGTGGGTGTTGACTGATTCTGATCCTACGTGCCATATGCTGTGTGAACAGGATGGAAGGCTGTGGGTCAATGACCAGCTGATAGCGGTGAACGGGGAGTCGTTGATAGGCAAGACCAACCAGGAGGCCATGGAGACGCTAAGGAAGTCCATGTCGGTAGAGGGCAACAAACGTGGGACGATTCAGCTGATAGTGGCCAGAAGGGTCACCAAACGCAGTGAGGTAAGCCCAACCATCCCTTTGGGACAGCTGTGGAGATTATTGGACTAACACCAGTCTTAGGACGGGCTCATAGTAATGACTGGAACGGAATACATTTAACCGTGTCAAACACATGGTTTCCATGGTTTCCATGGGTTTAATACCATTCCTTTTATTCCATTCCAACCATTACTATGAGCCATCCTCCTCTCACCAGCATCCACTGACTAACACGTGTGTATGCTGAAATACCTTTCTAACCCACAGGGCGTGTATGTGTGATGGTAGGCTTTTTGGAGGCTTTGGAGGCAGTGGCTGACAGTACTGTGGCTCTCCCTCCTCCTTTCCTTAGTTACTTCCATTGCCAATGTATTGTTTGTCTTTTCACATGTTTAATTACCTGATTAAAGATTAAAGTTTTTTTTTAATGACTGCGTTCTGTTTTGTGTATGCATTTGTTTTGCAGAAAATGGTGGTCATTCTTACTTACAGTAAATTGACAATATTCCTAAATAAGCTAAAGACAACCCATCACTCTGTGACCGCTGACCACCCATTACAATGATGCCTTCAACATTTGTTTTAAGTTTTTCTAAAACACTTGATACAGTTGTTCAGTTACCATTAACACGCACCCTCCCACATGTAGTCTCCATGTTAAATTCCAAGGCCAGTGACAGGTTCCCTGTTCTGGACTGGAGAGCTCTGTTATGGTTATGATTAAAGAGCAGTGGGTCAGGTGGGTCACAGCAGTTCACACGACATGAGCTGTGTCCCAAATGGCACATTATTCCCTATGAAGTGCAGTGCTTTTGAACAGGGGCTCTGGTCATGCTCTCGTCTTAGCCTCCATGCCCCGGGGTCCAATGGGGGAATTGGTGACGGCTGGCCAACAAAGTATTTTTCATTTCAATGCCATCATACACTTTCTCTCGCTCTCTCCACATTTCAATGTCATGATATGGGTACATACTCCAGACTCTATCCTGGCTTGATCACTTCTCTATCTGAGAGCTGTGCCAATGTGTACTGCACTGTCCCCTTTACAACAGTGTGTTGGTTGTAGTGTGTACTGTACTGTATGCCTCCATCCCTGCCTCTGCCTCTTGCTACAGGACATGTCAGACCTGTGATTTCCCATGGTGCAGCTGGTAATTGAAAGCAGAGTGGGGGCTAAGCTGTGTGCTGCAGTCAGGGGGCATGTTGTGCTGTGGAGAAGCCAAGGGTGAGAGCAGAGAGCACTGGCTGTGAATGAGGTACAGACACATGGGGGAGACTCGTCAATATCTGCTTCACAGATACAGCTGAAAGGATAACTTAGACTAGAGGTATCTATATAGAAGAGGAATTATACTTGATTGATCCATTTTCCTTGCAGTCCACAGAGTATGTGAAATACAGTGCCTTCAGAAAGTATTCATACCCCTTGACTTATTCCACATTTAGTTGTTACAGCCTGAAATCAAAATGGATTCAATATATATATTTCTTCACCCATCTATACACAATACCCATAATGACTGTCCAAACGGCAAGTTACAAGTGTTCAAATTGGATTTGTGTGTTTAGACAGCAGTCATTGTAACAACGGTGTGTGTGTGAAGTGGTGTAGGCTGATTGGTGTTGGTCAGGGGTGTCAAACTAATTCTAGGGAGGGCCTAGTGTCTGCTGGTTTTAGTTTTTTCCTTTCAATTAAGGCGTAGACAACCAGGTGAGGGGAGTTCCTTACTAATTAGTAACCTTAATTCATCAATCAAGTACAAGGGAGGAGCGAAAACCCGCAGATCTCCTTGGAAAGAGTTTGACACGTGGTGTTGGTACTCGTGGTTCCTATCACTCAGAAGTTGTGTAGCAAGCGAAGGTGACAACAATGCCTGCCATGGACGTTTCCCAGTTGCTTTGAAGATTCAAAATCATAGTGTAAGAACACTTTTAAAGCCTCAGAGGATAAGATGATCGAACTTCAAGTCCTTTTTGGCTAGCCACAACAGTCAAATAGCTCACGGTTTCCCAAACTCGGTCCTGGTCAAATTGGTTGTTGATCATTGCTAGACAGCCATTTTCAAGTCTTGCCATAGTATTTCAAGTCCAACTGTAACTAGGCCACTCAGGAACATTCACTGTCTTCTTGGTAAGCAACTCCAGTGTAGATTTGGCCTGGTGTTTTAGGTTATTGTCCTGCTGAAAGGTAAATTTGTCTCCCAGTGTCTGTTGAAAAGCAGACTGAACCAGGTTTTCCTCTAGGATTTTGCCTGTGCTTAGCTCTATTCAGTTTATTTGTATCCTAAAAAACTCCCCAGTCATTGCTGATGACAAGCAACCTCATAACATGATGCAGCCACCACCATGCTTGAAAATATGAAGCGTTGTACTCAGTGATGTGTTGGATTTGCCCCAAACATAACGCTTTGTATTCAGGACATAAAGTTAATTTCTTTGCCAAATTTTTTGCAGTTTTACTTTGGTGCCTTATTGCAAACAGGATGCATGTTTTGGAATATATTTATTCTGTACAGGCTTCCTCCTTTTCACTCTGCCATTTAAGTTAGTATTGTGAAGTAACTACAACGTTGTTGATCCATCCTCAGTTTTCTCACACAGCCATTAAACTCTTTTAACTGTTTTAAAGTCACCATTGGCCTCTTGGTGAAATCCCTGAGCGGTTTCCTTCCTCTCCAGCAACTGAATTAGGAAGGACACCTGTATCTTTGTAGTGACTGGGTGTATTCATACCCCATCCAAAGTGTATTTAATAACTTCACCATGCTCAAAGGGATATTCAATGTCAGCTTGTTTTATTTTTACCCATCTACCAATAGGTGCCCTTCTTTGCGAGGCATTGGAAAACCTCCCTGGTCTTTGTAGTTGAATCTGTGTTTGAAATTCATTGCTCGACTGAGGGGCCTTACTGATAATTGTATGTGTAGGGTACAGAGCTGTGGTAGTCATTCAAAAATCATATTAAACACTATTATTGCACACAGAGTGAACTTATTTAGGCTTGCCATAAGAAAGGGGTTGAAAACTTATTGACTCAAGACATTTCAGCTTTTCACTTTTAATTAATTTGTAAACATTTCTAAAAACATAATTCCACTTTGACATTATGGGGTATTGTAGGCCAGTGACACAACATCTACATTTAATCTATCTTAAATTCAGGCTGTAACACAACAAAATGTGGAAAAAGTCAAGGGGTGTGAATACTTTCTGATGGCATTGTATATATGAACCATAGTTGAAATCTACCACAGACGTTCAGGTGGCACAGCTTCATGCACAGGTTGTGTTCCTTTCTCTCATCAACTCTCTTTCCTTCCTCATCTCCTCCATCTTTAGGATCAGGTAATCATCACCTTATTTTGAATCTGAACGAATCCTTCCTCAATACTAAACCCCCACACAGGGCTATTCAGACAGATCCCCTCGTCACAATTCAGACCCAATGGAGTTCAGCCCTGCACCAGTTTAATTATAGGACTGAATATGCAATGAGTAGAGTGGTAATTTGTTGACCGACCTCAATATGGAAAACCTCCTTGGTTATTTTAAATGCAGGCTAGATAGGCCCTCCGTTGCAGCCAGTTTCATTAACTATCCCATTTAAAGTAAAGAGAGGCTGACTTCCAACAGTCTGAAGCCATATGGCCTCTCTAGAAATCATTCTCCAGGTCTCCAGCCTGAGTCATTCTCTCTTACCCTTATTTTACTGGCAATAGTCTGCTTGGTGATTGTTCAGCTGTTTCTGCATGAATAAAACGGAACCTTTCTGTATCACACGATCTCTGTCTGTGTTAACATCACATCTATCAAACACCTGGGAAATGAAATGAAGAGCTGTGGATTGATTATTCACTGATGACATTTCCTCTTGCTGTGATGCACATCTGTTGATGATGGCAAACCTTATAGTAATGTTAGGTTCTAAGTTCTGGTACAAATCCAGTCAGACACAACATACATCTCTCTCTCCCTCTCTACCGCACCTGCTGTCTCGACCTCTGAATGCTTGGCTATGAAAAGCCAACTGACATTTACTCCTGAGTTGCTGATCTGTGGCACCCTCTACAACCACTGTGATTATTGTTTGACCCTGCTGCTTATCTATGAAGAACGATCTGGCCTTAATGGCCATGTACTCTTATAATCTCCCCCCGGCACAGCCAGAAGAGGCCTGGCCACCCTCAGAGCCTGGTTCCTTTCTAGGTACTTCCTAGGTTCCTGCCTTTCTAGGGAGTTTTTCCTAGCGACTGTGCTTCTACATCTGCGTTGCTTTCTCTTTGGGGTTTTAGGCTGTGTTTCTGTATAAGCACTTTGTGAAATCTGCTGATGTGAAAAGGGCTTTATAAATCAGTTTTATTTGACAACTAACACAAGCACATATTTATAACATCCGACTAGGCGGAGTCATCTCCTTGTATGTCTAAGATAAACAGTCATTCTCTGTTGCTGGGCAGGAACTGAGTCTGTTCCTCTAATTGGTGTGGCCCAGCCTGAGCCCAGAACCTTCTTGGGCGGGGATGTGTGTGTGAGATAAGTCTTCAGTTAGTGTTGTTAGGTGGGCCCCTCTGGCTCCTCTCCCAGAGGTTTCTTCTCTCTTCAACTGTTGTCCTCACCTCCATCTCAATGTTGAGTTCCAGTCATTTCTACTGATTCGATGTAATTCTATGGTCCATACACATTCAACCCCACTTCCTCCCCTGCTCCTCAGTCATGTGTGTTTTAAAGGTGACAGTCAGCAAATGGCCTGTTTGTCCAATAAACAGCAGTGTGTCCGATAGACACCTGACGGAAATGTCACTGTGCTGCTGCTCTCCTGTGGGGGAATGTTGACAGCAGGTGTCTTAACTGCTATTGGAAATTCATGGTCATTTATCTAGCTAGCCGTGGTCGTGGTGGTGCTGCGGCTAATGTTAGCACTAGGCTAGCATGCCTCTACCGGACTGCCTGTCCCTCACAGACGGGATAAGGGATCATCTATAAGTTAAGCTGTCATTGTTGGTGCTATCTTAAAGTGAGAGCGAAAGAGCAATAATGGGGTTGTGTCATTGAGCTAGTTCAAACATTTTAAAGATTTAAGATTCAAGATTTAATCCAAATGTGCCAAAGGGAGAATGTTGTCTCATACTGCACATTTCCCACTATAATAAGGATATTTTTTCCATTGTGTCATGTATTGACTGTACCTGTCTTCCCACCCCTCTGTATGTAGCTGGAGGCCCCAGGGAGCCCCCTGGGACCGGAGCAGACCCTCCTGAACTCCTCCCTGCTGGACGACCGGGAGCGTCGTATCTCCCACTCCCTGTACGGAGGCATAGAGGGCCTGGACGATAACCTGATGCCACGGCAGGCCCTGATGGGCAGGATGATGGGTGAGTCAGGTGACCCCGTAGATACAGATGGAGGACTCTAGATGGATACACCCGTTTTATCACGGACATTGGCAAAGTTGAGTCTTCTGGCTAACTCTATGGGTGACTCACTATATCAGGGGTAGGCAACTAGATTCACTAATAATTAGTACACTGCAAATTGACCACAACAAAGCCCAAAAAGAGATTGTATTTGAAAATAACAATTATTTCATACCTTGATTACAGTGAGACACTATCACATCTCTTTTTTTTATTCGTGGAAATACTTGGGAACAGATTTCCTAAATTAAACACATTTATAGCTCAATTCCTGCCGATTTTAAGTTGTTTTTTTATACCTGAAACTAAAATAGCCCCCAATTTGATTTACTAAAAACTTCTGGGGGGGCCAAACAAATCCCTTGCGGGCCGGTTTTGGGCCAACCGCCTGTTGTTGACCCCTGCCCTATAGCTTCTCACACCCTTACTGCTGGGTTAGCGCCAGATCTCTGTCAGTCATTCACACTCTACAAACTGTAACCTAACAGTATTGATAACAGCCTATTCACACATGAGCCAAGCTCAGATACTGTGGTATTGTAACTGGAACAACCAGGGCCAAAGAATTAAAACTATGAACTAATAAGACACCATTTCTGATGACTCCTACTGGTAAATAAGTATTCACTTTTAACCATTTATATACTAGAGTAGGTGGACCATGAGTGGACTGGAATAGGTGCACCTCTACCTCCTGTTGTAACATCTGGCTTAGCAGTTGGTTGGCTGGCTGGTTGGTATCTAAATTCTATGATTGATTTAATCTCTGCCGCTCAATTCTGGCCGGACCGTTAAAATCCCTGTCCTCCCATCAAACTGCCTGCCTGCCGTCCTGTCTCACTGTTTGTCAGCCCAAGGCCCTCACACACACACACACACACACACACACACATCTGGTCTTCTCTCTCAGGGTCGGCCTGAGGCGCTGTCAGAGCAAACTCCAAACAGAGAGCTCAGGGATTCACAGAGCACACACACACACACCGCTGAATCAATCAGAAGGTGCGCTGCACCATACAAGGGCCCCTGAGCTGTAAATCATCCACAAGATTTTCCGACCTTTTCCTTTACATTTTCCAAGACATTAAGATCAGCTGAAAGTTGAATGGAAACTCAAAGCACTGTCACAGTTACACCATTTCCTGTGTTGACAAACCTGGTGGTCGCAGATCATATAATCCACTGTAAAAACACACGTGGACCGCAGGGGAAGGTACTACTTTCTCTAACCTAATGTTGTTCTTACATTACCATCACTCTGATGTAACAACCTACTTGATAGGTCGATGTCATCATTGTGGTTTTACAGACTTGTTTAATGCGTTATGTACCGTATTTTCCGCACTATAAGGCGCACCGGAGTATAAGCCGCAGCAGCTAAATTGAATGATATTGAATGATGTGTACATATATAAGCCGCACTGGACTATAAGCCGCAGGTGTTTTAATGTTTAATTACCATATGTAAGGGTTCGTGCACAGAGGGGATTGTCGGGAAAGAGACAAACTGTCTCGCTCTCGTAATGTCTGTCTGTCTTGCTCTCGTTCTGTCTCTCGTACCACTCTCGGTTCCACTTTTACTTTTGCGCGCTACCTGTCTCACTCTTTTCCGGCCTCCAGCTTTTCCTGCTGGAGCCCGCCGCTTAAAGGTGGGGGGCACGGACCGGTCATAGAGCCCATAGAGTTAAAGTTGGTGGACTGTAACCTGTAAAATCCATAGATTTAGGAGGTCTTCTAGTGGCCGTTAGCTGTAAAAATCCATAGATTAGCCGCACCGTTATATAAGCCGCAGGGTCGAAAAATGGGAAAAAAGGCGCGGCTTATAGTCCGAAAATTACGGTACACACTTTATTAGAATACTTATGAAATGCACTCGCTTATTTTCCCTCGACTCCAACCCCATTCGATGCATTGAACGGATGTGGGTGGGGCAATGTCTACATAAGGTTGCAAATTATAAACCACAAAACTTGAGGCCGATACGTAAAGCTTAATAAAGAGCAGTGATGCTAGCAAGAGCAGGTTTCTTATTTTTTCTCATATGCCTGGGTGTTAAAAGTAATTACGTTACTCATTTTGAGTAATCCAAAGGATTACTTTACTGATCACTGGTGTCGTTTAGTGGCCACCTATTCCCAAAAGTAGTGCACTATAAAGGGAATAGGGTGCCATTTGGGACGCAGACAGAGAGTTCAATATTTTCAATGCAGTTCAACTATTCCCCTCCATTACCCTTTCAAATCCCTCTCCTCCCACAGTGCTTTTGAGCTATTAAAGGGATAGTTCACCCAAATTACTATCCCTTTAATAATTGTTTTCCCCTAAAATAGTTTTGGAAGCCACCCTTATCATTATCCTTTGTGTAGACTATTAAACAGTATCTGTCACACTTTGTCTCCAATGCCTGTCCATGTCATAGATTCAGACAGGCAGTTGTGTAGAGATCAAATGAGATTGACACAGTCACACCTAGCCCACTCATAGTTGTATCATCACTCCTGGTTACAGAGAAAACAAAGTATCCGTTCTGTCTATTAGATTACACATACAAGTATGGTACTAGACAGGGCATTACAAACCATTTCATATGTCATAGATTACGTTTTTTAATAAAAGGTTTTATTAGATGATGTTAGTGTGATGTTACATTACAATATATCATTAATGTGAATTGGAAAGCCGACGTGAACTGTAATCGTAGAGATGAATGAAAATAACATTTTCAGCCTACATTTTCAGGCTGGTGATTTATTGTAGGCTGAACATTTTATTTTCATTCATCTCTATGAGTAGAGTTAACTTCAGATTTACAATTCACATGAATGTATATATAGATTATAATACTCATACTTTAACAGTTTTAACAGTGTTTTGTTGTTCCCCAGGTCACCATGGGTCTCATATTGTTTGAAAATCACTGTTTTTCTAATGTTTTAACTTTTGATGATGTCATCAGGTAGAACTTATATATACACACTGGTTTGGTGCTGGTGATTATGAATATGAGGTTGAAAAGTGGCAGAGTTGCCCTTTAAGCAAAAGCACTCTTACATAAAATACAAATAGTTTAGCAATAAATTAGTTATTGTAAATTATCTTCATGTGAATTAAAAAAACTAAACTAGAATCTTAACCATCATTATGGGGATACATTGTCATAAAACATTTTGAATTATTTTGAAGTCAAAAATGTACCTCCAGATACATTTGCAGTTGACTATTATTACCACTACGTTTGGAATATTAAGACCCCCCACCTTTCTGGCAACATTATTGGACTAGTCCCTCTCAGTGGTGTAATAATCCATTTGCTCATGAGAACTGGCAATACAGATTTCTGTCTTGGTACCAATATACACTACCGTTCAAAAGTTTGGGGTCACTTAGAAATGTCCTTGTTTTCCATGAAAACATACTTGAAATGAGTTTGAATAGGAAATATAGCAAACTGCATAGGAAATGTAGTCATTGACAAGGTTAGAAATAATGATTTTTAATTAAAATAATTGTGTCCTTCAAACTTTTCTTTTGTCAAAGAATCCTCCATTTGCAGCAATTACAGCCTTGCAGACCTTTGGCATTCTAGTTGTCAATTTGTTGAGGTAATCTGAAGAGATTTCACCCCATGCTTCCTGAAGCACCTCCCACAAATTGGATTGGCTTGATGGGCACTTCTTACGTACCATACGGTCAAGCTGCTCCCACAACAGCTCAATAGGGTTGCGATCCGGTGACTGTGCTGACAACTCCATTATAGACAGAATACCAGCTGACTGCTTCTTCCCTAAATAGTTATTGCATAGTTTGGAGCTGTGCTTTGGGTCATTGTCCTGTCGTAGGAGGAAATTGGCTCCAATCAAGTGCCGTCCACAGGGTATGGCATGGCGTTGCAAAATGGAGTGATAGCCTTCCTTCTTCAAGATCCCTTTTACCCTGTACAGATCTCCCACTTTACCACCACCAAAGCACCCCCAGACCATCACATTGTCTCCACCATGCTTGGACAGATTGCATCAAGCACTCCTCCAGCATCTTTTCATTTGGTCTGCGTCACAAATGTTCTTCTTTGTGATCCGAACACCTCAAAATTCGATTTGTCTGTCCATAACACTTTTTCCCTATCTTCCTCTGTGTTCTTTTGCCCAACTTCATATTTAATTTTTATTGGCCAGTCTGAGATATGGCTTTTTCTTTGCAACTCTGCCTAGAAGGTCAGCCTCCCGGAGTCGCGTCTTCACTGTTGACGTTGAGACTGGTGTTTTACGGGTACTATTTAATGAAGCTGCCAGTTGAGGACCTGTGAGGCGTCTGTTTCTCAAACTAGACACTAATGTATTTGTCCTCTTGCTCAGTTGTGCACCGAGGCCTCCCACTCCTCTTTCTATTCTGAATAGATCCAGTTTGCGCTGTTCTGTGAAGGGAGTAGTACACAGCGTTGTACGAGATCTTCAGTTTCTTGGCAATTTCTCGCATGAATAGCCTTCATTTCTCAGAACAAGAATAGACTGACAAGTTTCAGAAGAAAGTTATTTGTTTCTGGCCATTTTGAGCCTGTAATCGAACCCACAATTGCTGACGCTCCAGATACTCAACTAGTCTCAAGAAGGCCAGTTTTATTGCTTCTTTCAATCAGCACAAAAGTTTTCAGCTGTGCTAACGTAATTTCAGAAGGGTTTTCAAATGATCAATTAGCCTTTTAAAATGATAAACTTGGATTAGCAAACACAACATGCCATTGGAACACAGGACTGATGGTTGCTGATAATGGGCCTCTGTACGCCTAGGTAGATATTCCATAAAAAATCTGCCGTTTCCAGCTACAATAGCCATTTACAAAATTAACAATGTCTACACTGTTTTTCTGATCAATTTGATGTTATATTAATGAACAAAACATTTGCTTTTCTTTTGGAAACAAGGACATTTCTAAGTGACCCCAAACTTTTGAACGGTAGTGTATATGGTACCATTTAGCTCTGGCAACATCATCATTGGAGTAGTCCCCTCCAGTAGTTTTAACATCCACCTCCTTATATGAATGGATATTTCCAATCCCCACATTATAGGCTGCTATTCATCCTTTCAGATTCCTCTCTGTTCCAGTTGAACTTTTCCTTAATCTTATCGATGAATTCAATGAGATACCCAGTGGCTTCTTCAAGATGTTCCTCACTGTCCCATTCCCCCTTAGGATTCAGGTGGTTGCCACCGGTTGGGGTAAATTTCAATCTGCATAAGCCCAAAGGCCTTTCCATAGTCCCCCCAGCCTGGTTTGGGGATCCGTGGGGGGTCCATCTCCTGTATTGCTCTCCCACCCCTGGACTCTCTTGAGATGCTGCCACAGATTATAGCTGGGTGTATATCATAATTTATCGCCACCTTGTCGATGATGTCCTTGTACTTCATGTCACCCGGATTATGCCTTGCCATTTTGTCAGATGCATCCTCCCTTGCAGTGTAGTGGTTTGCTCCTGCTGTCTCCCTTGAGGCACAAGTAGTTTCAACCAGAATAATCTCTCCATAACGAGAGTTTGTTAACCACCCTAAGGCTCTGTATAACATGAGATATGGACTGACTTCTTCCTTAACACAGTCGCATGGCACCTCTGCTTTTTCCCGTATAGCCATGTGGTCGCCTCAGTTGAACGTGCATTGACAGTGTGCACACCCGCTGTCCGTTTTTATAGAGTAGGTCTACCTGGATTGCTCTTATATTGGTTTGGGGAGTGCGCATGATTTCCAGGAAACCACTGCTCAATTCATAAAAGCCAAGCCCAATATGGGAATAGCTGGTAATGAACCATGCCTGTGCAAGGTACAAAAACACAACCCAGGCTTGTTGCATTATTTTGCTTCAGTAGTAGTCCATTGGCCAGGAGAGACTGTGCTGCGTTCAGATTAGACTTAATTACAGACGACATGAACACTGTGGGCTAGCTGGTTTGAAAAACATGCTATCTTACATCCAAAATTCAAAACAGAATAAATACATCACTTTGAACGTCAACACCTCTTAGCTAGGCTCTGTAACATTGCTAGCCCCTGAGAATACAATGGCAAAATTAGTTATAGTTGTATTGTTTTAGTTAAGACTAGTCATGATCGGGGCTATCACTCGGTTTGGCTTTGCCTGATTTCTCTGATCACTTTACCATTGTTGTGCAGACCTTACCCGCTGCTATGACAATTAGCCTAGAGAGGATAAGAGACTTGAGTTAATGATTCTCTTCTTTAGGCAACGGCTCGTTTTTCAAGAAGTGGACTGAAGGCAATTCCCCTGCTTATGCTAATTATGCAGATAGCTTGGACAGTGGCAAAATAAAACCTCTTCTGCATCCCTGTTCTCTCGCCCAATTATTCTCACCTCTCGCCAGCTCTCATTTCATCTTGCCTGCCTTCCAACCTCTCAGCTATTAAATCCTGCTCCTCTTCAATATTCACCGGTCTGTTTCCACATAGTCTCTGATAATTGCTTTTACTGAAGCAATTCTGTAAAGAAGCTGTAACTATTGTTCCTTTGTCCCGATGTCTAATTGTATTAGGATAGTGTAAACTGCCCTAATTGTAAATGAATCCCACCAAGTCAGGTGCTTTGAGTTCTGCTCACCTGTCAGCACCATTGTTATTGGTAGGAGAGTGACCTTGGCTTGGTCCACCAAAAATAAGTCTGAGGCTCAAATGACACCCTATTCACTTTATAGTGCACTACGTTTGACCAGAGCCTATGGGCCCATAATAACATTCTTACGTATGGATGGATGTCCGTCCAGAAAGTTGATTGCTTCTGGAAAGAAAGCATAAATGAAAGTTGGTTTATTCATCGGGTTACTCAGTGCTTGCCACCTTCATTCAAACTCATCTACAGTGGCATTTACTAAAATAACCATAGAACCATTCTCAGTGTGCATTGGTCTGCTAAGGGACAGTATGTGTGGGCTGAGAGAGAAAAAAAAACTAATGGGTTTGAGGGCTCACCCACACCACAGAGTTCCCTGAAAAGACACATAGCAGGGGTAGGGACTAGAGACCACAGGATCAACAGCACACTAAATATATACACACACACACACACACACACAGCTCTATTAACATTGGTCAGCCCCTGAACTTTAAGCACACTGCTATTCATCCATCCAGCCATGCACATTGGCCAGGCAGTTGGAACTGTGGATGTAATTGGTACCACACAGACTCTCAGTGTGAAAGGATATGAGAAACAACACTAACCCTGGCCTCAGGTCCTGGGTAGAAAGTCCTGTTCTCCTGCCATGAGACCCAAACAGATTCCTAACACAAATGAACTTTTCTCTCCGTTATTGTGGAGGGCTCTTATACAGCATAGAAACCATCCTTCTATAGACAGCCAGTTACCCACAAAGACAGATTAAGGATAGCGTTGCAGAAAGTCATGCATTGCATATCAATGTGGTTTTAAATCCCTCTATTGGATACAAAGAAATGGGACTGTTTTTTTGCCTTGCTCCATGAGCATGCCAAAGAAAATAGTTGTATCTTTTTCACAATGGTGCAGCTTGAATTAATCACACTATAATGACTCTGAAGAATGTCTTGCCAGATGCTGCCAAACACAGGTGGTTTTAACTGTAAGCTGATTGAGAATTTCAGTCTGAGTCTGCTTTTAAATTAAAGAGTTATTGTGTTAAATGAGTTATGTTGTTATATAAAAGGATCAAATGTCCAATGAATATCAAATAAATATATAAAATGTCAAATGAATATTAAATTAATGCTTTAAATGTGTGTATTGTGTAATGCAGTGGTCACCAACCAGTCGTTCGCGATAGACTGGCATTTCTAGTCACCAAACATTTCTGTAAAAACCCCAATGATAAAGCCTTGCATTCCTATTTTTTCTATTTGTTTCACGCTGTTGGCGGTAGGTGCACTTGATTCAGCAGCCCTAGTGCCGGGAAGGCAAAGTGTTCCCATTTTCAACCATTTCATGTGTCTTAAGGTAGTACTCTGCCTACCCGGCAGGGCCAGAGAGCAAATCAAGTGCACATATAGGCTTACCGCTGGCCAATCGGATAACTTAGATCACCGTGTCTCCACAGTTTTCTAGAGCCACAGACTGTAAAAAGAAACCTCGAACGCACAGCAAAGTTGATACTGTAACATTTCAAAACTTATGGGCTGGGTGGTAGCCTAGTGGTTAAGAGGTTGGGCCAGTAACCGAAAGGTTGCTGGTTCGAATCCCCGAGCTGACTAGGGGAAATCTGTCGTTGTGCCATTGAGCAAGGCACTTAACCCTAATTGCTCCTGTAAGTTGCTCTGGATAAGAGTGTCTGCTAAATGACTAAACTGTAAAAAAAAAAAAAAAAAACATCACCAGAGAGAGACTCAGCAACGAATACAGCAAAGCGCTGCTGTTTTTATTAGTAAGTTCATGTTTAAGTTATTATTCAGTACTGACAACACGTTGTACATTTTATGGCTTATAAAAGTGTTGAACATTCTCCCTGCTTCCACTCACGCTACAACCAGCACTGCAGCTGCAATGAATGAGTATAGCAATGTTCCGATAAGCTTGCTTTGTTGTTATTAGCGGCTTGTGTCTTTTTAATTAGAGGGAGAATATTTCACTTTCTCTGGTCATAGGAGTAACAACAGGAATTGGTGCATGAGGGCAGAAATAATGCAGTGCAACTTGAGTTTCGCCATCACATGGAAGACTGTCTCCTCTTTTCTCAGTGGAGGGAAGGAGAGCAGAGGGACAGTGTTGGTGAGTCATGTGAGAGGAAGCCTCTGCTCCCTCCTTTCCTGATGCAGGCCATCAGTCCAGTAAAAAAGAAAACAGCAAATAATTATGCTCACTCAGCTGTGCCTAACAAGTAATGCAACAAATGATCTATTTCCAGTGTGATCATATACCTCCATTTTTTAAACTGCAGAATTTTAATTGCACACCATGACAAAATGTGTAGAATTGCAGGAAATAAACTTTAAACCCATAGAAATAGACGTGGCGCGTGCGCGGGGAGGGGGGCGCGGAATGTTCCCTGATGCTGGAAGGGGAGCCCCCGAGTGAAAAAGTTTGGGAACCCCTGGCCTACTGCACAAACCTCATTGCTACAGAACTGTGTTTAATTGGTTAATGTTGCATAGGCTTATGTTTTTTAGGTAATGTTTAAAAATAAATCTGAACATTAGATCTCGGCTTGCATCTTGATTGGTGACCACTGGTGTAATGTATATTAATGCCTTCCTTCTCCACTCATGCTCCTCCATGTTGTCCTACAGGTAACTACCAGCTCTCCCCTACGGTCAACATGCCCCAGGATGATACTGTCATCATCCAAGACGATAGGCCGCCTGTACTTCCTGCCCAGCTCTCCGACCAATCGTCTTCCAGTTCCCATGATGATGTGGGGTTCCATGTGGAGGTCCCTCCCTCTTGGGCCAAAGATATTCAAATTCAGAATGAGAGGTGAGAGGAGAGGACGATCCCAAATTGTCACCATAATCCCTACATAGTGCACTACTTGACCAGAGAATATTACAGTAAATGCCCTTTTATCATGATTAATCTCAGAAAGTTTCACTAGTTCCTCCTGTCATAAATCTCCAGTGTGTCTGATGGAGACTGTGTGTGAATCTCAAATGGATCCCTATTCCCTACATAGTGCACTACTGGGCCCTGGTCAAAAGTAGTGCACTTCATAGGGAATAGGGTGCCTCTTAGGAGGCAGCCCGACACTGGCTCATTACCTCTGGTTACGTATGTCTTTCCTAGTCCGCCTCACACACTGCTCCTTCTATTAGCTCCCTGTCAAACTGTTTATCAACTGTTAGTGTATCAGACTTGACATTCCTTTTGATAATCAGGACCATGTTTTGCTATGTTTTAGCAATGGAATGTTATTTCAGTTGCTGCAAATTAGACCTCATACTGTTTATTTAAAAGATTCCACCGTTTTCTTTCTCTACGCTGAACCAGCTAGTCGTAGAGTAGGTCTATTTCACTCCACTGTATGTTGCGTTCTACAAATAATGAAACATAAACAAGGTATGGCTAATTGTACATTTAAGCATACACAAGGACAAGGTCAATGTGTCCCCTATGTTTTTTGAAAGGACACACAGGCACACCCACCTGCTGCCTACTTAACTGGGCGTGGAGGGCCGTTGTAACCCTGGATACGTCCCAAATTGCCCCCTATTCATTCTATAGTGCCCTACTACCCTATGGGCCCTGGTCAAAAGTTGTGCACTATAAATAGGGAATAGGTTGCCATTTGTTTTGTTTTTCCCATGATGATGAGGCCCAGCCAGAGTTCTCGTCAGTGGTGCTGGGTTGGGCTGAGTGTGTGTGTGGTGATTGTAGCTGGTCCAGCCCTGATCAGTCTCAGCCTTAATCAGTGGCTTCTCAAGTATGGTCTAGATTCTAGGAACTGCAGTGGCTTGATGATTTGAAGGAACACTGAACCTCACTGATGATGACGGTTTGATTTACACTAGAACCACTGGAATAATCTCTTCCCTCTTTCTCCTGTCTTCCCCCCTCCCCTCTCTCACCCACCCTCTCTCTCTCGCTCTCTCACACTCCCTCTCTCTTTGTCTGTCTTTGTGTCTCTCTCCATCATTCCCTATCCTCCTGTAGCACACTGAGCCCTGATGACACCGACCCAGACGGAGCCTTTCAGAGGGAGGGTTTCGGCAGACAGAGCATGTCAGAGAAACGGACAAAGCAGTTTGGAGATGCCAGTCAGCTGGAGATCATGAAGACACGCAAGTCCAAGAGCATGGATCTTGGTACTGAAGGAAACCATCTTGTCCCTTTCCTCCTTCTCACTGACTCCCTATAGGTCAGCTCTGCCTGGAACCAATGGCAACACGTTATTGGCTGGTTTACCAAAACCGGCCCTATGAGTTGTTAGGAATCCCCACATTAGGCACAAACATACATACCCCACTCCTTGTAAATTGCATCTGTAAGACTTGCATTGCACAGCCTAATATTTGTGGCTTCTACTGTACAGTATGTAATCGAAATGTGATGCATTTCTCTGTCTTTTATATGACATAAAACAGGTTTAAGTACTGTATCTCCTTCTGCCACACCTCAGAACAACGTTTCAGCTCATTTGAGATGGCATGAAACCATCCTGATTGCTTTGGCTGACAGTAATCTTCCCTCTCACCCACACTATGGTTGCGTCCCAAATGAGGCTCCCCCATAGGGCTCTGGACAAAATAATGCACTATAAAGGGAATAGAGTGCCATATGGGGCACGGCCTATGATATCTAATCTGCCTCTTATCCCTACTGAATTTCAGTAGTCCTGCACGTGTTTATATCACAATAGCTCTGATTGCTATCCTAAACCTCACCATTTCCCTGTCTGTCTGTCTCGCATGGTTTCTGATTGCCCTTGAAATTGCCTAAATATGTGATGATGTACGTACTGTACAATAACGTTGCTGGAATGTTTGCATGTGGAATGTGCTCACTAACCAATCCTAAATGTTTATTGCCCCCCTTTAACAGTAGCCGACGAGATTAACCTCACCCCTCGCAAAGAGAACACACCAGGTAAGGAGTGACACATCACTGAGGGAGAACGGACACCTAATCCATTCCACAGTCCCTCCCTCATTCCATTCTGAGATTCCAGACCTGCTTTAGAATGTAGAGTCCACCACTCACAATGAGAATAGAATGCATAGAACATTGAGACAGTTTGAGGTCATTGCAGTGGAATTGTGGGCTGGTGAATATGGACTTGGCAGTGATTCTTCTTAAGACACGGTAGCACTGCTAATTGTTCTGTTGAAGGGAATGTGAGGAGAGAGGGCGGGAGAGATGGAGAGAAAGAGAAATCGCTCTGTCCTTGGCTGGGGCTGCAAACTGACAGCAAGTCATCCGTCATTGTCAGCCGTGTGTGTTTTCACAGCCACCTCTGAATAGAAGCTCCTTTGAAGGATGGGATTTAGCCGAAAGGCACAGTGAAAGCAGGAGAAAGAAACGGAAACACCAGAAAATAGAGGCAGACTACTGCGCATGAATGAGACTAAATATGTCATTAATGTCCCTTGTTAGGATATTGTTGTAGTCTGAGCAGTCACTAACATGAGAGATGCCTGGTTTGTGTCCCAAATGGCACCTTATTCACTTAGTGCACTACTTTTGTAGTGCTTTATATAGGGGATAGGGTGCTGTTTGGGACACAGACCTGTTGTTGTTTCTAACCTCCAGTTCAAGACTTGGCATAGAAGAGGCCACATACAGTGTGGAGAACAAGTATTTGATACACTGCCGATTTTGCAGGTTTTCCTACTTACAAAGCATGTAGAGGTCTGTCATTTTTATCATAGGTACACTTCAACTGTGAGAGACGGAATCTAAAACAAAAATACAGAAAATCACATTGTATGATTTTTAAGTAATTAATTTGCATTTTATTGCATGACATAAGTATTTGATCACCTACCAACCAGTAAGAATTCCGGCTCTCACAGACCTGTTAGTTTTTCTTTAAGAAGCCCTCCTGTTCTCCACTCATTACCTGTATTAACTGCACCTGTTTGAACTCGTTACCTGTATAAAAGACACCTGTCCACACACTCAATCAAACAGACTCCAACCTCTCCACAATGGCAAAGACCAGAGAGCTGTGTAAGGACATCGGGGATAAAATTGTAGACCTGCACAAGGCTGGGATGGGCTACAGGACAATAGGCAAGCAGCTTGGTGAGAAGGCAACAACTGTTGGTGCAATTATTAGAAAATGGATGAAGTTCAAGACGGTCAATCACCCTCAGTCTGGGGCTCCATGCAAGATCTCACCTCATGGGGCATCAATGATCATGAGGAAGGTGAGGGATCAGCCCAGAACTACACGGCAGGACCTGGTCAATGACCTGAAGAGAGCTGGGACCACAGTCTCAAAGAAAACCATTAGTAACACACTACGCCGTCATTGATTAAAATCCTGCAGCGCACGCAAGGTCCCCCTGCTCAAGACAGCGCATGTCCAGGCCCGTCTGAAGTTTGCCAATGACCATCTGGATGATCCAGAGGAGGAATGGGAGAAGGTCATGTGGTCCGATGAGACAAAAATAGAGCTTTTTGGTCTAAACTCCACTCGCCGTGTTTGGAGGAAGAAGAAGGATGAGTACAACCCCAAGAACACCATCCCAACCGTGAAGCATGGAGGTGGAAACATCATTCTTTGGGGATACTTTTCTGCAAAGGGGACAGGACGACTGCACCGTATTGAGGGGAGGATGGATGGGGCCATGTATCGCGAGATCTTGGCCAACAACCTCCTTCCCTCAGTAAGAGCATTGAAGATGGGTCGTGGCTGGGTCTTCCAGCATGACAACGACCCGACACACACAGCCAGGGCAACTAAGGAGTGGCTCCATAAGAAGCATCTCAAGGTCCTGGAGTGGCCTAGCCAGTCTCCAGACCTGAACCCAATAGAAAATCTTTGGAGGGAGCTGAAAGTCCGTATTGCCCAGCGACAGCCCCGAAACCTGAAGGATCTGGAGAAGGTCTGTATGGAGGAGTGGGCCAAAATCCCTGCTGCAGTGTGTGCAAACCTGGTCAAGACCTACAGGAAATGTATGATCTCTGTAATTGTAAACAAAGGTTTCTGTACCAAATATTAAGTTCTGCTTTTCTGATGTATCAAATACTTATGTCATGCAATAAAATGCAAATGAATTACTTAAAAATCATACAATGTGATTTTCTGGATTTTTGTTTTAGATTCCGTCTCTCACAGTTGAAGTGTACCTATGATAAAAATTACAGACCTCTACATGCTTTGTACGTAGGAAAACCTGCAAAATCGGCAGTGTATCAAATATTGTTCTCCCCACTGTATGTACTTTATTTGCCTGTCTGTAAAATGACATCCTCGAAATATCTCAACTAGATTTATGTTCATATGAAAAATACACACTCACCACCCACCTACAATTTAATTTATGTTTTATGTTAAAAGGTTTTCCCAGCTTTGGAGAAAAAAAACCCTCCATATTTAATTTTGCCCTATTAACTCTGTTGTTGTAGCTAGGCTAATAGATTTCAGGCTATTTTCTTTAGTGTTTCAGAGTTTATTTTCTCTCCCCCTGTGCTACACTGTCCCTCTCTAATATATACATCCACTCCCAGCTAAGTAGCAATGGGGCATGGTTCATTTAGCAGGCCCAAAACAAATCCCCAATCCTGGGGAAACGGTGACAGCCTGGGAGAGGGGAGTGATGGGACACAATAGTTTGGATAGCCTGGCCCAGTGGGCCTTCTTCTGCACTGATTGGCTATAGGACCTTGTTGATACAGACTGTAGCCACATGTTTGTTAAGGACTCCACTAGGTTAGTAGAGGGCAACGCAGGACTATTTGCCCATCGGTATAGGGCTCCCTAATGGTCAGTAGCAACAGGAGTTCCTTCAGTAGTTTCCATTCTGTTATGTGCCTTCAGAAAGTATTCACACCCTTTGACTTTTTCTACATTTTGTTGTGTTACAGCCTGAATTTAAAATGGATTCAATTGCGATAAAAATTTTTTCACACAATACCCCATAATGTCAAAGTGGAATTATGTTTTTCAATTTCTTTACAAATTAATTTCAAATGAAAAAATGAAATGTCTTGAGTCAAGTATTCAACCCCTTTGTTATGGGAAGCCTAAAGTTCAGGAGTAAATATTTGCTTAACAAGTCACATAAGTTGGATAGACTCATTACTGAGTTCCACTCTCCATATTATCAAGCATAGTGGTGTCAACATGTTATGGGTATGCTTGTCATCGTTAAGGACTGGGGAGTTTTTCAGGATAAAAAAGAAAGGGAATGGAACTGACCGTAGGCAAAATCCTAGAGGAAAACCTCGTTGTTTGTTTTCCACCAGACACTGGGAGATTAATTCACCTTTCAGCAGGACAATAACCTAAAACACAATGCCAAATCTACTCTGGAGTTGCTTACCAATAAGACAGTGAATGTTCCTAAGTGGACGGGTTAGAGTTTTGACTTAAATCTACTTGAAAATCCATGGCCAGACCTGAAAATGGTTGTCTAGCAATGATCAACAACCAATTTGACAGAGCTTGAATAATTTTTATAAGAATAATCGGCAAATGTTGCACAATCCAGGTGTGGAAAGCTCTTAGAGACTTGGGGTATTTTGTGTAGATGAGTGAGAGAAAAAAATATATTTAACCCATTTTGAATTCAGGCTGTAACACAACAAGTCAAGGGGTATGAATACTTTCTGAAGGCACTCTATCTGTGCAGCTCTAGCTGGTCCTATAGCCACAAAGGGTCAGCGCCCCAAATGGCACCCTATTCCCTATATAAGGTATAGGTGCTATTTAGGACGCTTCCAGGGTATTCCCTGTTCGACCTGCCAGTCGACTGCAGGGTGATTAATACCTGTATTTATTGTAGTAAGGCACCATCGCTGATCTCTGTACAACACACGTTTTCTTCTGTTTTGAATAGGGTGGCAGTCTGTACAAACATGCATAGATAGTACAGATATGTTGGAGCTGGGTTGCCAGGTCTGACTATCTGAAGCGTACGAACATGTTAGCTACAGAAATGTAGGAGCTAAGTTGCCAGGTCTGACTATCTAAAGCATACAAACATGCCAGTGCAGATATGTAGAAGTCTCGGTTGCCAGGTATGACTATCTGAAACCTTCAAACATGCCTGGTGCAGAAACTGAGAAGCTGGAGGTTGCCATCTGAAACCAGAGCCATATATTTACATAAGGCTCAGTTGCCAGGACTGAATATCTGAAACAAACATGCCAGTGCAGATATGTAGGAGGCTGGAGGTTGCCAGGTCTAACTTAACTGAAACAACCAAAACTCTTTCTCAAACAAACCACTGCCTGCTGTTCTTGACTCACGCCGTCTGTCAGAGGTCTGAGTTAGTGGAATTTTGAACACTACCACTGAGGTGTGACTGGAAAGCGTGCGGCCTCTGGCTGAACGCTAAAACCCAAATTAATGGGTTTTGATAAATGAAAGCCTATCAGCCGCTGCTTCAGTGAAATGTTAAGCAGACAGGAAAGACTGATGGAAATGAATAGGCACCAGCCCTGCTTGTTCAGGTTGCATGCAATTTTTCGCCCTCCTCCTCCGCTCCGCTCCACTTCTCCTCACTCCCACTCCCTCCCAGCCAAGCAGCCACCATATCCATGGCCACCCACATTAAAGTGTGGGGCTGCTTCCCAAATAGGGCTATATAGGGCCAAAAGTAGTGCACTAAATAGGGAATAGGGTGCCATTTGGGACGAACCCTGGGCCTCTTGTTTACCCAGTACCTCTGCTACAGTATAGCCTGGGGATTAGAGAGAAAGTGAGCCTGCTGGGCTGTTCCTCTGAGGTAATCCATCGCTCTCTTTGGATGCATCCCAAATGGCACCCTAATCCCTATATAGTGCACTACTTTTATATGGGTCCCCGGTCACTACATAGGGAATAGGGTGCCATTTCAGATGCATCCTCTCTCTTCACCTCAATACCGCTCTACATTTATTTCTCTACAATACCCTTTCAACCTGTGAGTGATGGAAAAGAGATATACTGTACACCTACTCTCTAAAACAAAACAATACTTATTTAGGCTTATCTAGTGTCAGAATTGAGTTTATCCCCTTTTTCCCAATGCAACTTATCCTGTTTTGGTAAATTGTCACACAGTGTGAGAAATGAGCTCTATCCGAGTTTTCATTTTAACTCACAGGCAGTACAGTAAAATAACAACATGCTTTAGTTAAACACAGCCCTGCATTTGCAAATACAAAAACTCCTTTAGTTCACTCACAGCTTTGTTATCAATCAACTAACTTTTGATACTGTTTCTACTCCGTAGGGTCTTCCACCAGGGACGTGGGTCCCTCCCTAGGCCTCAAGAAGTCCAGCTCTCTGGAGAGTTTACAGACCGCCGTGGCCGAGGTGACGCTCAACGGTGACATGCCCTTCCACAGGCCACGCCCACGCATAATCAGGGGGCGGGGCTGTAACGAGAGCTTCCGGGCCGCTATTGACAAGTCTTATGACAGGCCAGCTGCCACTGAGGAGGACGATGAGGGCATGGAGACATGTAAGATACAGTACTTCTATTGGACAGATCAAACTACTTCAGATCCATAAACCAAATGTTAATGCATGTCTTCCATTGACATCTCTGCATGAAGAATTTACCCAACATTTAAAGTTATGCCTGCATTTATAGGTCAGGATTTAAGGATTTAATAATTACCCCACGTATAAATCTCTTTCCATGTCTCCATCTCTCTAGTGGAAGAGGACACAGAGGAGAGCTCTCGGTCCGGGCGCGACTCTGTGTCCACCGTGGCAGATCTGACCCCACTGTCCAACACAGAGAGACCGCTGGTCAACGGCAACCGCACCAATGAAGACAAGAAGAAGGACAAGGGAGGGAAAGACAAAAAGAAACAAGACAGGGACAAAGAGAAGGACAGCAAGAACAAGGCTAAGAAAGGCATGCTGAAAGGACTGGGAGACATGTTCAGGTAGGACACACAAAACCTTTCCATCCTCCTTAACCAATGTTTCACCCACCATTCTAAGTGGGTCCTGGGGTCATGCCTTTAATCAAATTGTCTGAGATGGTCTCCGAGCTGTCTGGGATTCCAATGATATACATTCATACATCATATTTACTTAAATGGTTCTGACACAGGCTGTGTCCCAAATCGTATTCCCTGTATAGTGCACTGCTTTTGTAAAGGTAGTGCACTAAATAAGGAATAGTGTGCTAAAGTGGTTCTAGCAAGGAGAATGCTGACTGATTTCTAACAGTGTAGAATAATGAGATCCAGTGGGAAGGAGAAGGATCTCCTGGCAGACATGCAGATCAGATGTTTGACCTAAAGGGGTGTGGGTGTGGGTGTGTGTGTCTTGGGCCTCAAGGTTGCTGGAAGCTCTAGTTGTTTGGTTGCTGTAGTCCCAGGGAACTGCAGGATCAAATCATTATGCAGGTGTGCTCCTCAATTGACATGAGCACTATCAGTGGTTGTATGCAAACGCACACACACAGTACGCACTTCAGAAGAGCCGACTTCTTTGCATTTTTTGGTTTCATTCGATAATGACTTAAACATTCTCTTTCATTGACTGAAAGCATTGTGAAACCGCTGATCAATATTGCCCTCAAGTCCCTCCACGTGCACATCACTGACAACACTGAGTGTACAAAACATTCTCTTTCCATGACAAGCTATGATCCCTTATTGATTTCACCTGTTAAATCCACTTCAATCAGTTTAGATTAAGTGGAGGAGACAGGTTAAAGAAGGATTTTTAAGCCTTGCGACAATTGAGGCATGGATTGTGTATTTGTGTCATTCAGAGGTTGAATGGGCAAGACAAAATATTTAAGTGCCTTTGAACGGGGTATGGTAGTAGCTGCCAGGTTGCAACGCTGCTGGGTTTTTCACGCTCAACAGTTTCCCGTGTGTATCAAGAATGGTCCACCACCCAAAGGACATCCAGCCAATTTGACACAGCTGTGGGAAGCATTGGTGTCAACATGGACCAGCATCCCTGTGGAATGCTTGTAGAGGGCATTCCCCGACGAATTGAGGCTGTTCTGAGGGCAAAAAGGGAGATGCAACTCAATGTTAGGAAGATCAATCAAGCACAGCTAAATTATTTGAAATGATTTTTAATAGTATTTGAACCCAGGTCTGGTTGGAGTGGGTCGCTGCTCTCAACCCGAGACGCTAGTCAGATCTGACCCTCTCATCTCTCTGGGCTCGCACTGCACACACACACACACACACACACACACACACACTGCAGCCCAATCAAAGCCTCATTACCATCTGAACAAAATCTAGACCACAGTAGCTTCCCTCACCTACTCTACTCTGATCACCACTTGGACTCAAAGCAACACCCAATCTGCTCACTTGACAGCATCCTCAAAATGGTCACTGGCCAGAAACTCACAGCATCAGTATGGTTGGTGTTTCAGTGCTACAGTATGGTAAAGTGAAGAATCCCCAAGCCGGCAAGCAGGAAAGAATCTGCCGTTCCGCCGTTATCCCCCACATCAGCTGCTCCTCGGGCGCCGATGAAGTGGACGTCGATTAAGGCAGCCCCCCCCCCCCCCCCCCCCCCCCCCCTCAGATTCAGAGGGGTTGGGTTAAATGCGGGAAACACATTTCAGTTGAATGCATTCAGTTGTACAACTGACTAGGTATCCCCCTTTCCCTTTCCTTTAGTACTGTAACTTATGAAAGGTTTCAAGAAGCTGTGCTTAATCGGTAATAAATGCTAGAGTCAGTGAGACATTTTGACAGTGCTGCCGCAGTCAAGCCAGACTTGATCACTTTAGATACTTGTTGAGATGAGTTTGAAATGCCCCAGTTACATGTATGGTCCTGTGCATCTCATATCCCTAGCATTTGATTTTAAAACATCATGGCTTATCGTCATCTTCTCATGGACGTTCTGAGAGATTCGGAAATAAACACTACCGCAAATATTTGTCTTTCTCTTATGACACTTTCTCTTAACACTTTTTTTTGCGTTGTCAACAGAGCCCTTGATCTTGAAGTTTCCCAGTCGCCTGCTTCTTTAACTAAAATCTTGTAAATCCCTGTCTTATCAGTGGTGTAGAACTCGGAAGAGGAGGGTTCTGTGTTTAACTGTACACAGAATATTAAGAATATTAAATGCCCTTCTGTCATGATGAATGTTCCCATCTTTGAAAGTTTCACTAGTTCTTCATGTCATAAATCTCAAATGGCACCCTATTCCCTTTATAGTGCAATACTTTTGAGCTGTGGCCATAGGGGCTCTGGTCAAAGTAGTGCACTATATACTATAGGTAATAGGATGCCATTTGGGATGTGGCTGGTGTTTTAAGGAGATTTAATGGAAGCCACTGCAGTGGAAAGAGAAACTGTCACCCGCTGTCTCTGTGAAAGATAGGGCTGCACTTCATATTAACACCAACATGTCACTTTCAATGGCTTTATGCTACATTTGAGACCGTTTGTTGATCAGTTTATCAGGTAATGGACCTCCCTCTTCTGTCTTTCCCGCTCACCCCTCTCTCTCTCTCTCTCTCTGTCTCCTTTCGTTAACGCTCTTTGTCTCACACTCTCTCTTTTTGTTTTTCTATCTCTATCTCGCTATCTCTCTGTGTGTGCTGAGATGCTGTTGGTTTTCTTTGCAGCTGATTAAACTCAACTCTGCAGGCCAATTTTCCTCTGAATAAGCCTAGGTCCATCATATAAATAAGGGCTGCAAAGTAATTTAATCAACAGGGTGCCTTTTATGTGGATTCAATCAAGCTGAAATATAATTTCAAGTAGTTCCCATTTGGTTTACTACTATTTCCCTTCCCATGAATATAATTACTTTGATGGGCTATGGTAATATGTTCTTGTCTCCTATCAATTTCAGACCTGATCACGGGCAAACTCGGTCAAGTACAATTTAAAAGCTAAACATTTGATGGCATGTTTGTCAGAAGAGAGTTGGAGAGAATGGTAGAGTTGATCGCCATTAGTAATTTACTAGTGATTGTCTCAGGGGGACCTGTTGCATCCCAAATGTACATGTTTTTATTAAATTGTTTTGTCAAATGGCACCCTTTTCCCTATATAGTGTGCTACTTTTAACCAGGTCCCATGGCATAGGGCTCTGGTCAAAAGTAGTGCACTGGTGAATAGGGTGCCATTTAGGCACCCTTAAATTGACAAAAATCGAAACCATTTTGGGATAAAGTCATTGTCTGCTGCCCCAATGTTTCAGGTTTGGAAAACACCGCAAGGACGGAGAGAAACTAGAGCGTAAAGGGAGGCTGGAGGAGCTGCAGGCCTCAGAAGAAGAGACACTGAGGATGAGACTGGAGCAGGAGAGGTCTGTCTACAGACACACACTCACACAGTTGTTTTGTGTCAAGGTTGCTGTGGGACTGCGATTCGACCCCACACATACAAGTGCATATGTGCTGAAAGGCAGTGGGGCTACCCACTAAACCAACCCTATGCCACGAGCTAGACACTGCCTAATGAAGGAAATGGCAGGAGGATGATGTGCCAGTTATTTGGGCACCGGGCTGTAAATTCCAAAGCTATTACTACACATACACATACACACTACAACACTCTGTTTAATTGATTCCTCTGCTGGTGTTTTAGGGGCATGATAACTCAGTAATGGCATTCAAGTCTTATTTTCCACAATATTAGAATTCGTATCTCATCATTCCTAGACAGTTCAGACAGTGGTTTTCAGGGCAATTATTCACATTATGATAATTACATACAGTGGGGAAAAAAAGTATTTAGTCAGCCACCAATTCTGCAAGTTCTCCCACTTAAAAAGATGAGAGAGGCCTGTAATTTTCATCATAGGTACACGTCAACTATGACAGACAAAATGAGGAAAAAAAATCCAGAAAATCACATTGTAGGATTTTTTATGAATTTATTTGCAAATTATGGTGGAAAATAAGTATTTGGTCAATAACAAAAGTTACTCAATACTTTGTTATATACCCTTTGTTGGCAATGACACAGGTCAAACGTTTTCTGTAAGTCTTCACAAGGTTTTCACACACTTGCTGGTATTTTGGCCAATTCCTCCATGCAGATCTCCTCTAGAGCAGTGATGTTTTGGGGCTGTCGCTGGGCAACACGGACTTTCAACTCCCTCCAAAGATTTTCTATGGGGTTGAGATCTGGAGACTGGCTAGGCCACTCCAGGACCTTGAAATGCTTCTTACGAAGCCACTCCTTCGTTGCCCGGGCGGTGTGTTTGGGATCATTGTCATGCTGAAAGACCAAGCCACGTTTCATCTTCAATGCCCTTGCTGATGGAAGGAGGTTTTCACTCAATCTCACGATACATGGCCCCATTCATTCTTTCCTTTACACGGATCAGTCGTCCTGGTCCCTTTGCAGAAAAACAGCCCCAAAGCATGATGTTTCCACCCCCATGCTTCACAGTAGGTATGGTGTTCTTTGGATGCAACTCAGCATTCTTTGTCCTCCAAACACGACGAGTTGAGTTTTTACCAAAAGGTTTTTATTTTGGTTTCATCTGACCATATGACATTCTCCCAATCCTCTTCTGTATCATTCAAATGCACTCTAGCAAACTTCAGATGGGCCTGGACATGTACTGGCTTAAGCAGAGGGACACGTCTGGCACTGCAGGATTTGAGTCCCTGGCGGCGTAGTGTGTTACTGATGGTAGGCTTTGTTACTTTGGTCCCAGCTCTCTGCAGGTCATTGACTAGGTCCCCCCGTGTGGTTCTGGGATTTTTGCTCACCGTTCTTGTGATCATTTTGACCCCACGGGGTGAGATCTTGCGTGGAGCCCCAGATCAAGGGAGATTATCAGTGGTCTTGTATGTCTTCCATTTCCTAATAATTGCTCCCACAGTTGATTTCTTCAAACCAAGCTGCTTACCTATTGCAGATTCAGTCTTCCCAGCCTGGTGCAGGTCTACAATTTTGTTTCTGGTGTCCTTTGACAGCTCTTTGGTCTTGGCCATAGTGGAGTTTGGAGTGTGACTGTTTGAGGTTGTGGACAGGTGTCTTTTACACTGATAACAAGTTCAAACAGGTGCCATTAATACAGGTAACGAGTGGAGGACAGAGGAGCCTCTTAAAGAAGAAGTTACAGGTCTGTGAGAGCCAGAAATCTTGCTTGTTTGTAGGTGACCAAATACTTATTTTCCACCATAATTTGCAAATAAATTCATTAAAAATCCTACAATGTGATTTTCTGGATTTTTTTTCTCAATTTGTCTGTCATAGTTGACGTGTACCTATGATGAAAATTACAGGCCTCTCTCATCTTTTTAAGTGGGAGAACTTGCACAATTGGTGGCTGACTAAATACTTTTTTTCCCCACTGTATGCTATAATTTTGAGTAATAACTGGTTTGATGAAATTCAACAGAAAATTGTGATCTCACCTATTTTTGAAATATTATTGTGTGACTGTGCTGTTTCCTCTCCAAGACTGTTGCATTTGGGACAACCAAGGATTCCTCAAAAGCAAAACTGTTTTTCTAGCAGTGCTTCACTATAGTCTCTGGACTGTAAATTATGCTAATAGGATATTGTACAAGACACTGCTGTCACTGAAATGTACCATTGATGCAAAACAAAACTGAAGCTAGGGCTTCCTTGTCAGTCACACAGGTCGTGTTCCCCTGCTCAGACGTTGCTGACACATGCCAGATCTTACAGTACAGTGCTTGGATAGGTATTTTAGGTATCTGCTAACCACATCAAATGTTATAGCAATTTGCTGCCCAACGGCACGGCCTCTCACGTGGAACGCAACCATTGCGTGCAAAGTCTGAGCAGGGGAACACGACCAAGGTCTTCTGTTTCCACCCAGAGCTATAGAAATGTCAGAAGTCAGCGTATTAGGACACCTCACTGAAAGAGCCTGCTCTGCTCTGCTTGCCCTGGCAATGACCCCCATCCTTTTCTGTGATCCCATAGGTCAACTAATAGCTACATCCACACATAGACTAGAGACAGGGCGTGCGTTCCAAATGGCACCCCATTCCCTATATAGTGGGCCCTGGTCAAAAGTAGTGCACTATATTGGGAATATAGTGCCATTTGGGACGCGCAGGCAAATAATAGAGAGAGGGTGTGTGTGGTTGGTGCTTGATTTACACCACCCTACTGGAGCACAGAGTGTTTCCTTTGATTTACCCTCTATTGAAGGAGGAGCGAAAGGTTTGGGGGCAATCAGTGACAACGTGAGAGCTTATTTTCAAGCCCAGATATCTAGAGCCCTGACTGTGGGTAGCAATCATAACATTCATCACAACACTTCCATTTCTACGTACCATGTCATTACCACGCTGTCCTTACCGTGATGCACAGCCAATCACTTGGACATGGATACCAAATCAAAGGAACTGTCATTATGAAATCACGTCATCAACAAAATGGCTCTCTCTGCTTCCGGCTCTCGGCTAATAAATGTTGCAAATTATGGATTCAGAAAGGAATAAGGGGAATGGATGCACTATTTATGTATATCATAAGTCAATACTATACTTATGCTATTGATCTTGGCATGAAGGACTGAGAATTGAGACACCGAAAAAGCATTATGATCAAACCTATTGGAAACACTTGTATAAATAAATCGGACTTGACTTGTGATAGCATCAACTACTGTAGACCTACTGTCTCCATCACTCTGATAAATTGGTCTCTGTATTAAGCACAGCAATGGAACAAACACAGTATCTAATATGTCATCTGTACATTTCTGATCACATTCATTACTAATCTCTAGATGGATCTCTAGGTACACTAAGTCCATATGGGTGTATCATCAGTAATGCTGCTTCGTTCTTTATCCAGATGAAACCCTTGTATTCCCAGTGTGCTAACTACCTACACCCCCATCTCTCTCTACAAACCATTACCTGGTGAACAGCTAAGGTATTCATGTTAACTGCAGGGAGGGAGTACCTCACCGAGCACATAATTACAGTTTAGCCAATTATCATCCTTTCAACTAGCAATTATCATCCCTTCGTTTCTCTCTGGTCCTCTTTACTGCCGGGAACAAGGGAAAGGAAAGGAGGACAGACAGGTTTGCCTCATCTAGCACTCAACTGAGAAATTTACATATGCCCCAAGAAATGTGCATTAGCCACATAATGAAATAATACGTCAAGGAAACAGGTTACCCATTTAAGTGTGAAATTAAATGAAGTCATTATAGGTGAAAATATTTATCCAAAAAGGCAATAATATTTCCTGATGAGTTTGAAAAGAGCTCATCACAGATTCCAGGCAGTTGCTGAGTTGAGTAGACTGAGCCATCTTTTGAATATTTTGAGGATATCTTAATAGAAACATATGCCTCTTATAACATGTTAGCACTGCAGCCTGCCCTGAGTGCAGACACAGGCTAAAGCTTGTTTGTAGACTCAGCGAATATCTAAATTACCAGAAGGAAATGGGCCCTTGAGATCTAGCTTTAAACCGGGGGAAAACAAGATTTGTGTTGGGGGAGTTTAGTAGGCTACTGATGGTAAACACGGTGCTGCTGATAAGATAAGGGCAGACATAGCAATCTGCTCCCTTGCTGTGTTTGGCTCAGCAGCCTTTCCATGGAAAGGAGAGGAGGTGGAGGGGTCGCCAATGCTATTTCCTAAGCAGGCTAGCTAGACCTACCGACTGAATTGGTTCCTTACAACAGCAGCTGCCTTGACATGAAAGCCAGTACAATCTCAATCCCTCCATCTTCTAAAAAAAAAAATAGCACTGCTACAGCAGAAAAAGCCTCCTCAAATTCCACCTCTGTTTACTTTCTACCACAAAAATGCTAATTGTTCTCAGCACCCTTCAATGAGAGATTCTATCTAGATAATGCCTAGTGCCAACACGGGTCATAAGCCTGAGGGCCAGCCAGGAAGAAGGTCTAGATGAACTATTGGACCAAACAATCGTCTCAGCCCTGACATGTTTCTGTGAGGAAGCCCTCTGAGGTCTTAATGATTGGCCCTGATGAGAGATGGGAATATCTCTACTTGGCAGAGAGTATTGGAGCTATAAGGGGTTTTATACTAGGGAAGGGGGGGGTGATAGCACAAGAACCAGGGTTGATGAGTGGCCTTTCCTCAGCTTCCACACAGAACAATGTGCCATTGTGTCCACTGTGTAATGATAATGTCCCTTGGTGGCAACTAATAGCTACACAATAATGATAAAACATGCTGAATGAAAGGAAACCCGGATGGAAGGTCCTGTGGGTTAAGCGACACATAAGCCTGTGAAGAAAGATCTGATCACTTTATATTCCAGACAGTTGATTCACCAGACAGATGCTTGCCTGTGTGTGTATCCCCTATATAGTGCACTACTTTTGACCAGGCCTAGTGTACTATATAGGGAATAGGGTGCCATTTGGAACGCACAAAACAATTATGTTTTTCTGTCAAGCTGTGAAGTGCAGGCCCTGGTCCCTGACCCTCACCTGAGTAAATTCATCCAATCAGTCAATCATAGGTGGATTTTCTCTAGCCTCTGGCCTTGACCAATCAATATGTGTTTTGCCGGAGGAATTGTAACTCCCAACTGATCCTTGGGAAAGGAACTCTGCCATTACAGATCAGACATTGATTAGGTAGAAGTTTCTGCCTCTCCACCTTTTCCCAAGGTAGCCTACTCCTAGACCTCCACAGATTGTCTAAGTACTACACTGCAGCAGTGGAAGGTTTCCACAAGGAGAGGGTTTATTAAAAGACATCTTAAGTGTTCTAGAGAGGAGAGCAGCTGCCTGTGAACTTAGAATGTGAACGTAGGTTGTGTCTCAAATGGCACTATTCTCTGTATAGGGCTCTGGACTAGGGTGACATTGGGGACACATCCACAGTTTTCTTTTTGAGGAATCTATAATTAAACATTCCCTCTCTCTCTCTCTCCTCCAGGATCCAGGCTAAGACCCGGGAGCTGCGGGAGCGCCAGGCACGGGAGAGGGACTACGCTGAGATCCTTGATGTCAACCTGAGCCGAGATGAGGAGCACCCCTACGCAGGCATCGGGCCCCTGGACATGTCCCTGGACAGCGGGCACAGCCGGCCCCAGAGCCCCAGAGACGACCACCACCAAGACTCCTCCCTCTACACACAAGTCGGCAAAGCCCGCAATACCAACGGACGCCCTCCCTCTGCCGACAGGTAGGTGGCCAAGGGTCTATCACGCTATGAGGAGCAGTCCTGGGTTCAAATACTATTTAAAATCTTTCAAATACTTTGGCCATTGTCTCTAGCCTGCCAGGAGTGCCAGATGGGCAGGGGTTGCCATTGTGGGACTATTCTATTGGTCCATTAACCCAGGCAAGCTCAATCAAGCTCAAGTTATTTAAAATACTATTTGAACCCAGGTCTGATTTAAGAGTGGTAGTAATACCACTATAAATACCACTATCAAGCACTATTAAGTAGCACTTCTGATTGGCAGTTTGGTTTTATCCTTCTGTTATAGACAGACCATAATTTAAAAATGGAATCTGCATTAGGGGGAAACAGCGCCACTGGCCGCCCCACCACTGTTGTGTTTGTTGCCGAGATGAGGAGTGTCTTACAGCATGGTAAAAAATGTCAGTTCATATTGTGCTCTGCTATCACGCGTGCAATGATAGCCAAGGGGGAAAAAAGTGTTCATGGTTTGCAGTAACTTCTTCATTGTTGTAATATCGCAAACGGATGTGACTGTTTCACCATTATGGATTCCAGCTTCAAGCCTCAGTGATGTTGAAGAACTAATTCCTGGGAGAATAGTATCTTGCTGTGCCTTGCCGTGCTGGAGTAATGCTAGGAGAAACATTGTTGCAGATACAGTACCTCTACATTTTGATGCTGCATCACTCACTTTCATCTATATGTATTCTATATCCTAGCACTGAGTAGCTACAGTATAGAAGGCTGATATTCTCTCAGTATAGAAGGCTGATATTCTCTCAGTATAGAAGGCTGATATACTCTCAGTATAGAAGGCTGATATTCTCTCAGTATAGAAGGCTGATATTCTCTCAGTATAGAAGGCTGATATTCTCTCAGTATAGAAGGCTGATATACTCTCAGTATAGAAGGCTGATATACTCTCAGTATAGAAGGCTGATATACTCTCAGTATAGAAGGCTGATATTCTCTCAGTATAGAGGCTGATATTCTCTCAGTATAGAAGGCTGATATTCTCTCAGTATAGAAGGCTGATATACTCTCAGTATAGAAGGCTGATATACTCTGAAGTGTGTCTTAGTCCAGCCATCACCCCTCACCCCAGGAAAACAAGCACAGGAATGAATGGCAGTTAAATGTCACCACTCTACTGACTGGGACTCACTGGTGATTACCTTGTTCCTGGTGGGAAAGGAAGGCAACATTTCTAACATTTTCTCGTACTCTTTCCTGATCTATTTCCCCCGTCTCTTACATGTTCATATCATAGGATGCGTCCCAAATGCCACCCTATTTCCTACATAGTTTGCTTAGACTTTTATAGGGAATAGGCACTACTTGGGCACTGGTCAAAGGTGGTGCACTTAATAGGGATAAGGGTGTAATTTGAGACGCAAACATAGAGAAACTTATCCTCAGGCTGACTCTGTTCACTTTCCTTTAGGATTGACGTCTGTCAATCATCTCACACCATTCCCAAGACTGGTCTGGGACTTCAACTTTATTGTCCCTGAGGAAATTGGTTTTGCAGCAATTGTCAATACACGATTTTATGTATGACCATCTTTATTCCTACTATGTATTCATTCATAGTCAGTGTCCTTGTGATGCCATAGTGAACACAGGGGCCACTGCAGTGACAGTACTTTACATCACACTAAAGGCTGTGATGAAAAACCATAAGCCTGTGGGCCCTCTATCCACTGCAGTAGTCAGTATTCCGCTGTAGGGGTGTGTCCCAAATGGCACCCTATTCCCTATATAGTGCACTAATTTTGACCAGATCCCTATGTGCCTGGTCCCTATGTACCCCGGTAGTGCACTATATAGGGAATACGGTGCCATTTGGGATGAAGCCTCAGTATTCCACTGTAGGACTGTATGGCCTGGAGCACAGTACAGATGAATAACCTGGGATGATTTCCCTAGCCAGAGTGAATACAGTTATCCTGGGTGTTATTTCACATGTCCCTCTACTCACAGATGTGTGTAGATTTATTAATACTGCATGTAGTATTGATGTATAATGAATTGTGCTGCCACAGTGTTAAGGTTTGGATATAGTTCTAGAGAGAGGACGTGTGAAGAAGTGAATAGCATTACTATGCACTGCGGCTCTTAAGAGACTAGCAATACCATGGAGCACTCGTTCAATAAACATAGTCAGGGACATCGTGTGTGTTCATGACCCCATTGCATCAGAACCGCTGACGCGATCTGTTTAATCTTTGCTTGTGTTTGGCTCTTCAGTGCTATTTCAGCGTCATGTCGGGTCACAGGTGGTATTGTTTTTTGAAGTTACAGCAGCCATTGTTTTGTTGTACTGTGCATCTCTTGAGGGGAGATGAGGTTTGTGAAAGACTTGCCCCCCACGAAGACATTAATCATAAGCAGATGTATCATCACAAACCTACAACTTGCTATTGGATATGTGGTTGTGTCCCAAATGCCACGCTATTCTCTATATAGTGCAGTACTTTTGACCAGAGTCCTGATCAGAAGTAGTGCACTATCTAGTGAATAGGGTGCCATTTTGAACGTAGGCTTTATTCGATTTCTGAAAATCATTATGCCTTTGGAAAAAATGCCACTGCGAAGTAGAGGCACAGAGTATTACACCATGGAAGTATTTGATTTGATTGTAAAATACTATGATCTATTGTAAGTTGAAGATGTGTGTAAGTTGGATTGCTTTCTTTTTAGGGATTTATATGTAGTCAGTTAAACTTGACTTATTGTACACTATGCTCCAAGGGGTACTGCACATGTCAAGCAGAACTGGTGCAATAGAATTACTGTTTATATATCTGTTACTCAATACTGGACGGCTGGCGGCTAGCCGAACCGAACAAGTGTGCTCGCATACTCCCTTAAAAGACCTTCGCTTGAAAATGAAGGGGGGGAAAAACGGCAATAGTACTGTTTGTCCGTTTTCAGACGCCGTAGCCAGTATACACTTCCTCAAAATAGTCTGAAACATCTCAAGAAGTCTGTCATTAATTTTGACGTTTTTGCCGAGGAGATCTTAGTCGCGCAATTTTACATCTAAGATGTTTGGTACAATATTTCTCAATAAAGAAATGTGCATGAAAACTAGTCGTTTCTCGTTGAATGACAGACTTTATTAAATAATCCCTACTATTGACCAATCACCGACGAAGTGGTGTAGACTTCAGCTCTGAAATTCTGCTTGCCTCCAGAAAAGAATGTGTGTGCCCAAACAGCCAAAAAAGCCCTCATGCAAAACAAACAAAAACATCACAAAATATCATCACACCACATGGCCATAGGTATGTGGACATCTGCTCGTCAAACATCTTCTTCCACGATCATGGGCATTAATAAATGGACTTGGTCCCCCCTTTGCTGCTATAACAGCCTCCACTCTTCTGGGAAGGCTTTCCACTAGATGTTGGAACATTGCTGCGGGGACATGCTTCCATTCAGCCACGAGCATTAGTGAGGTTGGGCACTGATGTTGGGCGATTAGGCCTGGCTCACAATTGGCGTTCCAATTCACCCCAAAGGTGTTCGATAGGGTTGAGGTCAGGACTGTGTGCAGGCCAGTCAAGTTCTTCCACACCGATCTCGACAAACCATTTCTGTATGGACCTCGCTTTGTACATGGGGGCATTGTCATGCTGAAACAGGAAAGGACCTTCCCAAACTGTTGCCACAAAATTGGAAGCACAGAATCGCCTAGAATATCATTGTATGCTGTAGCGTTAAGATTTCCCTTCACTGGAACTCAGGGAGCCTAGCCCAAACCATGAAAAACAGCCCCAGACCCTTATTCCTCTTCATCCAAACTTTACAGTTGGTACTATGCATTCAGGCAAGTAGCGTTCTCCTGGCAACCGCCAAAACCAAATTCTTCCGTCGGACTGCCAGATGGTGAAGCGTGATTCATCACTCCAGAGAACGCGTTTCCACTGCTCCGGAATCCAATGGTGGCGAGCTTTATACCACTCCAGCCGACGCTTGGCATTGCGCATGGTGATTTTCGGCTTCTGTACGGCTGCTCGGCCATGGAAACCCATTTCATGAAGCTCCCAACAAACAGTTATTGTGCTGATGTTACTTCCAGAGGCAGTTTGGAACTCAGTAGAGAGCGTTACAACCGAGGACAGACTATTTTTACGAGCTACGCGCTTCAGCACTCTGCAGTCCCGTTCTGTGAGCTTGTGTGGCCTACCACTTCACTGTTGAGCCGTTGTTGCTTCTAGACGTTTCCACTTCACAATAACAGCACTTACAGTTGACCGGGGCAGCTCTAGCAATTTGACGAACTGACTTGTTGGAATGGTGGCATCCTATGACGGTGCCACGTTGAAAGTCACTGAGCTCTTCAGTACTGGCCATTCTACTGCCAATGTTTGTCTATGGAGATTGCATGGCTGTGTGCTCGATTTTCTACACCTGTCAGCAACCGGTTTGGCTCAAATAGCCTAATCCACTAATTTGAAGGGGTGTCCACATATTCTACCGAACTGTTTCGGCTGGGAAGCATGCGGACGCCTTTATCCTGTTCTGTGTCCAAAATGACACCCTATTCCCTACATAGTGCACTCCTTTTGACCATATCTCTATGCCCCTAGTATAACTTCTACTATGTAGTTCAGGGCTAATGTCATAAAAGAGGCTGATGAAGGAATTGATATTTGACCCATATGTGATCTACTCATGTCCATGGCACTATAGTATCTACAGTGGGGGAAAAAAATATTTAGTCAGCCACCAATTGTGCAAGTTCTCCCACTTAAAAAGATGAGAGAGGCCTGTAATTTTCATCATAGGTACACGTCAACTATGACAGACAAATTGAGAAAAAAAATCCAGAAAATCACATTGTAGGATTTTTTATGAATTTATTTGCAAATTATGGTGGAAAATAAGTATTTGGTCACCTACAAACAAGCAAGATTTCTGGCTCTCACAGACCTGTAACTTCTTCTTTAAGAGGCTCCTCTGTCCTCCACTCGTTACCTGTATTAATGGCACCTGTTTGAACTTGTTATCAGTGTAAAAGACACCTGTCCACAACCTCAAACAGTTACACTCCAAACTCCACTATGGCCAAGACCAAAGAGCTGTCAAAGGACACCAGAAACAAAATTGTAGACCTGCACCAGGCTGGGAAGACTGAATCTGCAATAGGTAAGCAGCTTGGTTTGAAGAAATCAACTGTGGGAGCAATTATTAGGAAATGGAAGACATACAAGACCACTGATAATCTTCCTCGATCTGGGGCTCCACGCAAGATCTCACCCCGTGGGGTCAAAATGATCACAAGAACGGTGAGCAAAAATCCCAGAACCACACGGGGGGACCTAGTGAATGACCTGCAGAGAGCTGGGACCAAAGTAACAAAGCCTACCATCAGTAACACACTACGCCGCCAGGGACTCAAATCCTGCAGTGCCAGACGTGTCCCCCTGCTTAAGCCAGTACATGTCCAGGCCCGTCTGAAGTTTGCTAGAGTGCATTTGGATGATCCAGAAGAGGATTGGGAGAATGTCATATGGTCAGATGAAACCAAAATATAACTTTTTGGTAAAAACTCAACTCGTCGTGTTTGGAGGACAAAGAATGCTGAGTTGCATCCAAAGAACACCATACCTACTGTGAAGCATGGGGGTGGAAACATCATGCTTTGGGGCTGTTTTTCTGCAAAGGGACCAGGACGACTGATCCGTGTAAAGGAAAGAATGAATGGGGCCATGTATCGTGAGATTTTGAGTGAAAACCTCCTTCCATCAGCAAGGGCATTGAAGATGAAACGTGGCTGGGTCTTTCAGCATGACAATGATCCCAAACACACTGCCCGGGCAACGAAGGAGTGGCTTCGTAAGAAGCATTTCAAGGTCCTGGAGTGGCCTAGCCAGTCTCCAGATCTCAACCCCATAGAAAATCTTTGGAGGGAGTTGAAAGTCCGTGTTGCCCAGCGACAGCCCCAAAACATCACTGCTCTAGAGGAGATCTGCATGGAGGAATAGGCCAAAATACCAGCAACAGTGTGTGAAAACCTTGTGAAGACATACAGAAAACGTTTGACCTGTGTCATTGCCAACAAAGGGAATATAACAAAGTATTGAGAAACTTTTGTTATTGACCAAATACTTATT